GATATTTGGCAGAAATCGTATATAGTTAAAAGTTAAAAGCAACTTGAACTAATTTACTCACACGTAATGTAACTCTACTCGTTATCACATAGTCCTGGTACAGCAGAGTCTCGAGTCTTGGGCATTGTCTGCACGCGTCTATTATGAAGTCATATAGAAGACACAGCTGATCTCTGAACTGCTTGAAAGACGGCTCAAACTGTATAGCTTCATTCGCGAATGTCAGATTTATTACGAATCCTTGGTTCATACCCTGATAAATTAAATCTCAGTTCAAACCATGTGTCAAAAATGTATTCCATATTCATATAGTATTGGAATCTATATGCTCGTGGGGTTAAGAGAGGAAGTATGATACTGAAATTGGTAAATAAACACTCCGCTTTGTTCACTGCACAATTGTGCAAATACTGCATTTGGATTTTATCTTACCCTCACCAAATAATTTTAAGAAATAAATGATTTAGAAACTCTTTGCAACCAAGTGACAAAGCTTTATTGAAAATAACTTTTTTGTTGTTCGGAAAAGAGAAACTATCAGGATAAAGCACTTTAGAACCAGTTAAAAACTTACGAGAAATATAAATAGGATTATAAACGAGTATCATTTTTCTCAAAGTAAATTAGTTTTAGCTAAAGTAGTTTTAATTACCCCAACATCAATGATATATTCGGTGAAATCCTTCATAGATTTCAGGCAGAGTGTCTGCAAATTATACGCCATAATACACGCGAGGCAATTGTAGAAATGTTTCATTTTCGACACCTGCTTTGGTTCTGGGATTTGTCGCTTTTTACTACCCTACAAATAATATTAAATCGTTTTGAAGTTTCTATAAAATTGAAAGGAAAGAGTTCAACTTTTTTACTATATAAATAGCACTGACCAAAGAAGTGAATCAAAACCAAATTTAAAATTGTTGGCTTTAGGCGCGAAACACACAGAGGCGTAAGGTGAAGGCGCGGCGCAGGCATCTTGCGGCTTCAAAACGCGTCAATACAAAATGTACGTAAGCGGCACGTTGTTAATTATACTCAAGCGGCGTGGCACAGGCACGTCGTTTCGTCGCCTGTTCCGCGTCGCTAGCAGTCGCGACTAGAGTAAAATTTCGCATCTTCGTCATCTGAAGAGGAAGACATGCTATCACGATAAAGTCAGCCTGCGTAATGACTCTTTGTGCCGTCTCTTTGCCTGTTTTATATAATTTAAGTCGCATCCGTGCCTTATCTGTTCCACGCCGGCTCTGCGCCTGCGCCGCGCCTTCACCTTACGCCTTTTCTGTATGTTTCGCGCCTTATATCGCTATTTGTCTTATCTTCATACTAAAACGAATTTAGCAGAATAAAAATTAAATCACTTCAAATAACTTATCTAATGGACGTTAAAGATTTTAAAAATCGGCCAGATGAAGTGTTACCTGCGCGATTGTTAGACAACGTTTGTACTAAAACGCTTTTCAAAACGATTTATAACATACCTGAAGAAAAACAGCCTGTACAGTGGGTATCCACTGCATAGAGAGCACGTTTCCTGCGGCCTCAATGTGTCGCTTGCTTACAAAACAGAAATCCTGTAGTTCATACGCTTCGTTCGTCATCTTTATATCCTTCATGCTTATTAGACGTAGATCGCTATGGAGCAATTGTTTCATAACACTTTATTGTACAACATTTAAAGTTATTTTATTTTGCTTCGTTGTATCGTTGTCAACACTCGCTATTTTATATTACAGAATATAAATTGTAACGTTTTTATTATAATTACCAACTTTCATAGAACTTAAAACTGTTTTCCTTGACTTAACGAGATTAAATTTCTCAATAATGTTAAAATGGGTCACAAAAATGTTCTATTTTTGGGGCACTAAATATATACAAGGCCAGTACTTTAAATATTTCAAATTTCACTAGACTCACTTGAATTGTTTCCACCATATCTGCAGTACCTGTGCAATGCAAGGGTTGACACTATGAAGGTTCTTCGTCACAAACTTCTTGGCTATGGCATAACGGTTTCGCCACGCATCATCTTTCTTTGCCAGTTCCTGTTTTAATGGCGTGTCTTCTTCTTCCAGAGATTCCTCCTAATAGTTTTTTTTAAATTACAATAGTGTATATATAATCTATCCCTAAGATAAACAATAATTACCATGAACTTTCATTAATTAATTTTAGACACAGAAGTAATCTTTTCCATTGGTGTCCTATAACAAATTTGTGTTCGCAATTCACTTTCGGATTTTAAAAATTCTTAGTTTATTATATATTTAATTCTGAAGTGCATATAAAATATGTGGATTTAAATGTATATTAAAATTGTATAATCAAATGAATTCAAAAACAATTCGAACCGTATTAGGATCTTTCAAGACAAAGTCGACGATTGCTTTCTTCATACTCATCATGAAATCTTCTCTCATCTCATCAGTACTCGTAAAAAGCGTGTCTTTCCATTTTTTCAGTTTTGCCGGTATTAGATTGTGTACCCTAAAATATTATGGTTTTGCTGGTATTAGATTGTTACCCTAAATATTACGAATTCCAAAATATATCCGAAGATCCCAATTTTATCTTGAGCCCTACCAAAATATTACTGAAGAAAATTCTTGGGAGATCTTTAAGTCTGATTCAAGTTGTATAATAATATGAGCAATCAATCATTCGGTATTAGACTAATTCAACAACAAACTTCGGAATATCATAATATCAATTGTTTAATTGAACAAAACTAAAAAACGTGACTACCCTCACTATTGAAACGAATGAATACTCTTTTATTTAATGTTTGTAACATATAAAAGTTAAAATTAAACTAAGTGTTTAATCTTACCTTAAAATAATTTTGTTATCAAGAGGCGCAACATGAATTGTATCAATCCCATAACGTAGATAATAATAATATCTAAGCATATTCTTCTCCTCAGCTGAGGGTATTGTATCCCCGTCTTCCCCAGGCGCGGATTGACAAATCAAATTCATCAACTTTGCCCTGAACTCCTCTCGGGCCTTTCTCATTGCCGTAAAACTTTGCATTACTGAAATGTTTTTCGTAGATTAAACAAATTTCTACATGTTTTTACACTTAAATATATATTCAGGGCTATCATGAGACCTATCCATTCAATAAAAGCTATTTTGTCCAGCTATTTTGCATCCATAATCAATTAAAAACGTGATTTTAAACATGATCCTAATTTTCAAAATTATCGGTTTCTTCGTTTTTTTTGAGTCGGTTAAAAATTAAAATCTGACAAGACATACCACTAGATTTCTTCCTGACAGACGTTTTTGATGCCTGTATTTTCGCAGCTTTTGTCTTTGGGTGAGGCAATTTCAAGACCTCTTCAGGGAGTGAAAACAGTGGTTGTGTTCGTATTTTAAAATCATCTGGCATTTTAATCCTTGGAATCTTTGGAAGTTTGACATCCGACGTTGACGGTGCTGGTTGACTTTTTTTACGCGTTGGTTTATTTTTCTGCATGTTTATCTACGATCTGAAAATTTAAATGTATGTCCATGTTGAAAGAAATATAAAATGTATATATTCCATTGCACGTAGCATGCAATTTGAATTCTCCAGGTTGAAACATTTCCAGCCAAAATATTCTTGCCATTTAATAGTTATCACAATCATAACTTAGACGACTCATTGGTCTAGTGGTTAGTACCCCTGACTGCGAATCCATGGGTCCCGGGTTCGATCCCCGGCTGATACAAACATCGATGTGATGAGCATTTGGTGTTGTGCTTAGGTCTTGGGTGTTTAAATATGTATTTAAATGTCTATCTATCTATAATATGTATGTATATCCGTTGCCTAGTACCCATAACACAAGCTTCACCAGCTTAGCATGGGACTAGGTCAATTGGTGTGAATTGTCTTTAAAAAAATTTTAACTAATAACAGAAATATACGAATGGATCTGAAAAATTGACGCAACTCTCTCTGATCGTAATTACATATACCAAATACCAATCAATTTGATCACATATTCTTATTAGTGAATACAATTTTAACTGTATATGTCAGCACAATATATGTATACATATTATTAAAAACTATATTTTAAATTACATCAATAAAGCCCCATGTAAAATTGTTATTAAAAAATTACTTATATAAAGATATACCAATAAATAAACCTAAAATCGACATTTGCGCATCTATTAGATACTCACTATATAGTTAATTTATTTCTTTATATAACAGATACATAAAATACAAGAATAGAATAAAAGAATATTGCCCGTTTTATTACTGAATTTTAGGCGCCAAATGACGGAGCACAGATTACGAAATTGTATAGGTTAAGGAACAGATAGTAAATTTTAAGGCCTATCTAGACTGGATAAACTGGAATTTTAATTATTGTGAAATATAATTTAAAAATAATGTAAGATCTACGGTAGTCGGACGTCGGATCATTCTCTCAATTATTTACTATTGATGTAAGGTAAATTGTCAATATCTTATAACAATTAACAGCTTCTAAAACCTATTTATTTGTCAAAAATTGCACGAAAAAAAATTGCATTTAAATTACTAAATAATAACCTAACATTTTTAAACAAATAAATTATTCTTAACATCTTTGTGAAGTGCATAAAACGATAGATCTACAAAATATTGTTACAGCCGTATTTACTTCTTATTAACCATCACAGTATACTTACGACAAACAAGATAAAGGTAAATCAAAATTATTGTATTAAGAAACTTACGAAAATATGTCACTTATTATTAACTATAGGAATGTGGTTAAATTAATACATTTTAGGACCTAGCCAACGAAGGCTAGGTATTTAAAATACCTAATAATATAGTTTATTGATTTTACCATGACAACAGACAGGTTGTCTTTTTCCTTTATCAATAGCCAGGATTATGAAAATTAGAATAGAGACAGATAGACATAGTAGTTTCTATATAAAACGCTTCTTCTTAATATATTTGTAATTAAAATGTCTCTTATCTTATCATTTCCTTATAGGTTTATGTAATGAAACAAACTATTAAGTTGCATTCAAAGGTAACAACTATAATAAGTTTTAAAACTAAATCAGTTGTTTCATGCATGAAGCTCTAAACAAAACTGTTACTGTTTGTTATTGTAGTTTTGGCCTTGCAGTAGCTGTAATAACCGATGATGTCATTTCATAGTTATTGTTGTAAACTTAGCTGTATAAAGGCTTAAATTATCTTAAACTATTCAAAAATAAAGCTATAGCAAGCAAAATTTTTCTTCAATTTGTGTATTGGAGTTAATTTAAATTAAGAATGTTTTACTAATGAGTTCAACTACTAGCTAATACTTGTAAATTTAACAAAGTTAAATAATTATAATGTTTGCTGTGCTTGCAATTTCAATTTAACTTACTAAATAGAAAATCTAATTTTTCAGATGATATTGCAATTGGTAAGAAATTTTCACACAAGTATAAGTTGGCGTGCTGCAGAGTCCTCTTTATTGGCTAAATTGAGAAAGAAAACTGGGTATACAATCGCTAATTGCAAGAAGGCACTTGAAATGCACAATAATGACACTGATAAGGTATATTTAATAATTAACTATTTAAATACTTGCAAATCCTTATTTTATGTTAAACATTGTAACATACATCTTTTTCCCACCTAATCAATTGTTTATTTCTGATAATACTTTCATTACAAAAATAATATTGAATATGTCATACAAACATTACAATTAGCCTTTTCTTGAAATACTTATTATCAATACTTTGGATCAGAGTTATTAAAATAGATTGTCTATCACATTACATGTTAGGGTGGTGCGCTAAGAAAATATATTATTATTTTTAATAAAAGATACATTTGTTAATTGTTTTAACACATTAGGAATGAATCCACACTCAAGGGCCCACATAAATGTCACTGTGGAAGTTTTAAACTGCTATGACTAAGAAATTTTCATTATTCCTATTTTATAATCACACCAATTATACTATTAAAATGATATTAAATTTTCCTATTTTTACACCAATCTAGTTACTTGTTAATAAGCATAATTGTTTTGTAATTTTTTTATAATTACAGGCAGAGGCATGGCTAAATGAGCAAGCTCAGGCCATGGGCTGGGCAAAAGCTACTAAATTAGCCGGAAGGAAAGCACTCCAAGGGCTAGTTGCAGTAAAGTTTGACCATAGCCATGGTGCCTTAGTGGAGCTTAATTGTGAGACAGACTTTGTGGCCAAGAATGAGAAGTTTCAGAAAATGTTGGAAGATGCAACCCTTGCATGTTATAAGTTTTCTCATACTCACCTTCAGGCCAAAGGTCCTGTTACAAAAGTAAGTACCATTTACCTTTTCGTCAGTAGTAGAACAAAGTTATCTTTAGGTTTAATGTGTAAAGGTAAATTTATAGAAATTTTTATCTTTACCTAAAAACTGTTTAAAAAATTAGCAAGAATGCTTGCTTCTAATTAAAATCGTTAATCAAACCTTTACATAATAATCAAATATACAGTAGTTACAATTTCCTTAGAATAAAAATGTAATAAAAAAAAATTTTAATAGTTTGGTCCCTGAGGCAGTGTAAGTACCTTTAACCAGATGGCGTAGTCTTGCTCTTTCGCGAATTTTGTAAACGTTTTTCATTCATAAGCATGCGCTAAGACGCATCTAAATTGAATAAACGTATTTTGATTGATTAATTGATTGATAACACTGGCAGCATTTCCTCGCTGTACTCAAATTAAATAATCTACATACTTTAAGTATAAAAACTTTCCTTGGTCTATGATTCCGATTTCTTATTCTATACTATTATTATAATGAGGTAAAATTTGTAGGTCTGAAGGGAGTAATCTCTGGTTCTATTGAATGGATTTTGTTTTTTTTTTTTAAAAAACACATTATTTTGTTGAGTGTCATAGGCTATAACATAATATAATAACATAACATAATATGTTAATATTTATATATTAACCCGAAAAATGATATCTCTTTCGTGCCTGACAAAGGAAGTAATCCTTACTTACGCACGCTGCCTTATATATCTATCTCTCTGTGTCTGAAAAGAACTATTTGGAATAATTCATGAGGAAGGTACATATATCATTTTGAAGATAAACGGATCACGGTTGCCTATGCGAAGCCGGTGCGGGTCGCTACTCACCCATCAGGCAAATTTCTGTGCCTGCCACACGATTCTGGCCTAACGTGAATGTCATGTATAGCTAGGGTTCAAATGCATAACAAAACTTTATTAAAATTTCAGATGGAGTTGGACAGTGAGCAACTTGGCAACATGAATGTTGATGGTAGGAAATTATCTGAAGTTCTGGCACTTTTTATTGGATCTGTTGGGGAAAACGCCGTGCTACGTCGCGCTGAGTGCTGGAAAGCTAACAGTACTGACGTTAAAATATCCGCTTACACTCACCCAGCTCCTGCTGTCGCGTCAGAATATTCTGCAGGAAAATATGGAGCCCTATTAGCCTACAAGCAACCAAATGACCAAGAAGATATGGGAAGACAATTGTGCCAACACATTGTCGGTTGTGCGCCATTGAAAATCGGGAACAAGGAAAACGACACCCCAGCCAAAAATTCTGATGATGAAGTCTGCCTCATTTACCAGGAGTACCTTTTGGATCCTTCATTCACGGTCCAAGAGATTCTCGATGAAAACAAAGTTGAAGTTATCGATTACATTAGGTTTTCTTGTGGAGAATCTGAGGAATCCCTACCAGGTGTAGAAAAGCAACCGTTGGATACCGTTCAAACATTACAGTAAATGTAGATATTGTTGGTCTTAGATATTTATTTTAAATAAACTCCAAAAAATTAAAAAGTCAATGTTTTTGATTTCCCTTTCCAAAGAAATTTCCTGCAATCTTTCTTCCAGAACATTGCGATTTGATTGGGTTCGAAATTGTAGCCATGATGGTTTAGAACTTCCGGCGCAACAACGAGAAGTGCTAGGGTATTTTTTTCTCTAGTCCGGAAAGGGCCTGTTACAGCTGGCCGTAAAAGGCATCCACAAGGGCATACAGGTGTAGACTTAGTGATGGGCGTAACATTTCCTCTATTTGTAAGGTGCACTCGCTGGAAATTTGAGCCAAGCCGCAACTCCTCCACTGCTCCAGTGAAAGATTGAGTGGCTCTCAGAGCCATCGGCCGCGCTTGGCTCTCCATAGTATTTCTAAAGCCAACAGTTGATAATGATTTCTTAGTAACATTCGGACTGTCTTCAGGACTAATTTCGTCAAATTCACATTCCTTATCTGAATTTTCGTCGGTGTACATAATTTAAATTGTTTATTATAAAACGTATCAAGAAATACTTAATTTATCGATTGTCAAAATCATGGCGTCATCAATGACAATTTTAAATAAGGTCTAAAATTATATATCAAAAAAGTCTTTTCATTTCCAGATTAAAAAGTCATTCAGCCACGATGGTAGGTACTCTTTTAATTGATGGATCTCTTTAGATACATTTAAGAAGGCATCGACAATTACTGAGCAATCATTTAAATTCTAGATTAATAGTAAAAAATTTAGTTTATTTTGCCAAATCAACTTTATTTTGAACACACTAGTGAATATTTACTCCTTGAAACTTGATATGTGTGATAAATTAAATAATAATAGGTCCTTACATATGAAATTGGCGTATTTCGTACTGGCCACTTTAATCACGATGTTCTCCTCTTTGGTAAGGAATTCCTAATTCAAATTTGTACAGCTATTTACGCCTTTAGTACACCTACGCGTTCGTATGCGGCTGCGAGTCTTTGCGAAATAATTGCGGTAGCGAAATCTGCGGAACGTTAGTACACTGCAGTTTTTTCGCAAGGAAATGTCATTGTAGCTTTATTTCTTACCATCTATCCCCGTCTTTTCTTGAATTTTCCTCCATGCCACCTCTTTTTTGTATGCATTTTTGTAATTAACATGCCCAACTAAATATAATTCGGGATAATTTCGAATCAAATTTAATAATAATTCAATATTTTCGGCTTCCATTGTGCGAAATTCTGTCCTCACTGACAGAACGCGTGGTGACGCATTGCGATGCGAAACTCCGCTAGCGAAACGGCTGCGTCTGTGTAACAGCCATTTCGCAGTTACTTGCGAAACAATACCGACAAGGACGCAACTATTTCATCTAGCTATATAATAGAGCGAGACAAAACACATGCGAAACGTTGCCATACAACTTACAGTTTTTTCGTCGTTTCGCTGCCGCATGCGATTGCGTAGGTGTACTAACGCCTTTACTCTTGTATTTGTGCTTCGATGACCGTCATTCATTTGATTTTTTCTGTTTGCGTCACTCATTTTACAAAATGGAAAACTTAAAGTATCGCATTATTTACGAGTACGAGTTCCGCCGTGGCACTAGTGCTGTGGAAACGACTCGAATGGTGAATGATGTGTATGGCGGTCATGTTGCAAAAGAAAACACAATTCGTTTTTGGTTCCAACGCTTTCGTTCTGGAAATTTCGACCTGCAGAACAAGGGCTCAACCCTCTATTCTCAACCCAAGTTGATAATGAAGTATTGAAGGCTATTGTGGAAGCGGATCCATCGCAAACCACGTCCGAGTTAGTTGCAGGCTGCGGTGTTAGTGATAAAACTGTTTTAATTCACTTGAAGCAAATTGGGAAGATTAAAAAGCTTGAAAGATGGGTACCTCACGAATTGGCTGAAGCAAACCGGCAAACGCGCGTCGACTGCTGCGTTACATTACTGAACCGGCACAATAATGAAGGTACATATTTTAAACCGAATCATTACCTGTGATGAAAAATGGATTCTTTACGATAATCGGAAGCGTTCAGCGCAATGGTTGGATCCTGGCCAGCCAGCCTAATCCTGCCCCAAGCAAAAATTAACCCCAAAAAAGTTACTTGCAAGCGTTTGGTGGACTAGTGCCGGTATTGTTCATTGCAGTTTTCTCAAATCTGGCCAGACAATTACGGCTGATGTCTATTGTCAGCAATTGCAAACTGGTTTTGCCTAGGCTGGTCAATCGCTCCACGCCACTGCTACTTCACGACAACGCTAGACCACATACTGCACAACAGACGGCTACCAAATTAGAAGAGCTTCAATTGGAATGTCTAAGACATCCTCCGGACTACCCGGACATTGCTTCAACAGATTACCATTTTTTTCGAAATTTGGACAACTTCTTGCAAGATAAAAAATTTAACTCTGATGGGGCAGTCCAAATCGCCTTCATAGATTTTATTGATTCCCGTCCGATTGGTTTTTTAGTAAAAGGATCAATGAACTACCTATAAGATGGCAAAAGTGCATAGAAAACAATGGTTCATACTTTGATTAATTAAATATATTATATTTAAAAATATTCGACTTTTTGTTCCTCCCATACAAAACGCAAATTTCATATGTAGGGACCTAATATAACCTTCATGGTGTACTAATTCGAAGCATCCGTTACTATTGATATTTTTGTTGTGAATCTAAATAATTGTAACTGTCCTTGATAGATGGGCCACTCGAGCGTATCCATTCTATTATACTGTATTTTTAGGCTTCCCATACATTAAGTAACGCCGACGCATGGGCATATAAATCACTTAGAGCCTATAATAATCTCTACGAACTTTAGGACAATTTCGTCAAGTATAAGTCAATATAAAAGCGCGTTCCGTTTGATTGTGATTGGTCTCTTGGTTAACAGTCTCATGTCCCGTATGATTTTTGATACAAACGCATCGTTGCCCATACAATTTGTATAGTTTGCTTCAGATTTTATTTTTCATCAATGTTTGTGCTTTCTCAAGATTTCCATACAAAATTGCTATTACTAACCTACGTTAACTACTCGATTTTATGAATTGTTCGTGCTAAGGGGCCGTTCAAGTATTACGTATCTAAGCACCATAGGGGGTGGGGGTCATTCATTTTCTTATTTGGTGATTACGTCAATAGTAATTATTTACTTTTTTACTCATATTACCCACATATTGTCTATGCTTGAAAACGAAATGCATTTTCGAGGTTCCTACAAAAAATTAATACGTATACTATTATTTTTCAGAGCTTTACTTACTTTTGCTGACAAGAGGAGGGGGGGATAAATTGCAGTAAATCTCCTTACGTAATACTTGAACGGCCCCTAATGGTAAAAGAGTGAGTTACAGTACTTACTTCGATCCAGACCCTATCTACACAATATAACTATTAGAATTAAGTCTTAGAAAAAACTAATGTTCATAAACGTATGATTTTTAAATGTTTCGGTAATGATATCTGGGGAAAATTTGTTCCAATCAAGTAGCCGGAAACAAGAGTCGAGAAGTTTCGCAATACATTGTAATAGTTTTCATATAGGTACCTACCTACAACCGTTTTAAATGAAAGGCGTTGGTCGTCGTTTGTCGTTTGCTTGTAATTTTATATGGTGTGAACAAAGCTATTAGATGAGTCAGACTAGAGCCTTCAACTTTAATGTCGATCCAAATCTCAATATTCAGTTATTTTGCGACATCTGCGAAAGGACTCAATTGGATTTCTTTGTTAGGCAGTGCCTACGTAATAGTCGTATTACACTTACTTATTATTGAGTTGAGTACTTATCATCGACTATTGTGAACTATCAACTAAGGACATCACATCTACTACAACCTTCTACACTAAGAAGTCATACCTTGTTTAGAAGAAGTCGTAGAGTAGTAGTCCTAGAACGCCAATCCAACTTAAATCTAGATTAGCTAACAACAAACAGCAAGACGTGATTGTGACTTGAGATACTAATTAGATTATGGAACTGTTGACCTAAGGGCTCCCACACAAAACTGCGATGCGATGCGATGCGAATTCGCATCGCAGGAACTTGCGAATTTTTGCGATACGATTTAGTGCGTCAAACCGTTTGGTAGGGCGACCATTCCTTCGAAGCCAGCCGTACTGAACGTGTTTTTAAGAAGCGTAAGATGGATCGCAAAAAGATTATTGCACTGCTGTTATTGTTAAATAGATATAAAAGAAAAAGAAGATTCTGGGTTCATCCATTCATTACGATTATGAACTGTGAAGGGAACTATTTTATTCAAAAGTACTATGCGTTGAGAACTGAAGATAAATTTTTTGATTATTTTAGAATGAGCATATCTTCATTCGAAGAGCTTTTGAGTATATTATCACCATGCCTTCAAAAACGATCGTACAAGGGAAGAATTCCTGTTATGCCTTTGGAAATGCTGGGACTGACTATCAGGTAAAGTAAAACAAAATTTATTTATTGACATTTTAATTTTTTGTCTCAGAGCGGACTAAAATGGTGTCACCAAGAATGACGTAAAATCGCAGGAATGTGCGATGCGAAGCAGTACGGAAATTCTTGCGTTGCGTTCGTGCGAATTCGCAGATATTTGCGATGCGATGCGAATTCGCAGTTTTGTGTGGGAGCCCTAAGTGCTGCAACAACCTGTTACCATTATAATAGTAATAATTCAGGGTCACCACGACCCTCTATTGGTATTTTTTATTTGCCTGAGTCGATTTGAGAAAATGATTAATGAAATGTTTCATTATATTTCCATCTCTGTACAAAAAACTTTTCATTACGCACAAAATTAAACCCCGAGTTCCTCACAACATCAGCATCGCATTCTTAAGCACTAGGATAAATATATCTATTGCTGTCACTTCTACGAGCCTCAGCTTACACTTGGCGGCTTGTTGATCCAGCTTAAGCTGCATATTCAAAAATAATATTATTTATAATGGAATTATTGTCATGCCACCTAAAGTGAGGTGTTTCATTTGTAGCTCACTAAACTCGTCTGCTCCTTTAGGAACTGCGCCGTTCTTTAATTAGGAGTTTTTATGTAATTTTGGTATATATTGCATGTTGCGTGTTTTGGCGGTGTCTAGATTTCGTTACGTTTCAATTGAGTTATGAAATCTGATATCGTTTTGGTTTGGTCATTATGGGTTTAAAATCCGTAACAAACGAAAGTGAACGTGTGACTTCACAAAGTGCGCGTCCAAGCGTATTTCCTGTGACCAGAATTGTGGGATTTTTGCACCAGTCCACACAAAGCGGAGTTGACATGTGCCTGCGTGGAGCAAGAAACCGCTAATCAAGAAAGATACACATGGATATCTATCAGGTTATCATTTTTGTTTCTGTCTTATAAATATGAGAATCAGTAGCTTTAAGTTAAATAAATAAATAAAAAATAAAAATAGCCTTTATTCGAATACACTATAACTACAGTAAGTCCATGTCTTTTAAGTTTTACACTAGTACTCGAACTCTGGCGGAGTGAAGGCCTCCTCCAGATTCTTCCATTTGTCCCAATTTTCCAGTTTTTCCCCGTTATCCCTTTTATTTCATCTTCCCAAGTTTTTGGTGGGCATCCTCTCTTTCTTCTTCCCACTGGGCCCTTCCAAGTAAGGGTCTTTTTGACCCATTTGCCATCACAAATGCGGCCAATGTGACCGGCCCATTTAAGTTAAATATTGTGTCCTCTATGAAGTTACCACGAGTAGTGTTGGCCAAGTGGCTTCAGCGTGCGACTCTAATCCCTGAGGTCGTAGGTTCGATCCTCGGCTGTGCACCAATGGACTTTCTTTCTATGTGCGCATTTAACATTTGCTCGAACGGTGAAGGAAAACATCGTGATTCGTGAGGAAACCGAATGTCTTACAACCAAAATAAAAGTCGACGGCGTGTGTCAGGCACTGAAGGCTGATCACCTACTTGCCTGTTAGATTTAAAAATGATCAAGAAACAGATTCAGAAATCTGAGGCCAAGACCTAAAATGGTTGTAGCGCAACTGATTTATTTTATATGTACAGGCGGCCCCATTATATCAAACAATATCTTCCAGGTTATCCTAAAAAAATGAAGAGAATATGGAAAAGTGCATCAAGTGCGAAACTATCTAAATTAAAAAAAATTACCATATCATATACTAGTTACATACAATAACATTGAGAATTATTTTAACACGCACGTAATAAATTTATAAAAGGGATATAAAGAGTCCCGACAGGATTAAAGGATTATCGAATCTAACGGGCATGTTTTTTAAGATATATAAGAAGATTTCTGACCCTTCACTTGTAGTGCGGCCACTCTGTTACTCGAATATTTGAAGCAAGACAGCCTCTTAATAAGTACATGACTGACTTATCAAATGGAAAATCTCAAATAGGGGCCGAGACGAATTTTAAAACTAATTGCATTTTATGCAACTAGCACTAACCTAGAAAATATGAAGCATTAGTTAACCTAGACTAACATTTCAAAGCGATATAAAAATTTCTGCTAAGTTCTAGGATTCTTTAGGTTCTATCCTGTTATAAGGGGCCTTTTAAGAATTACTTAAGCACTATAAGGGAAAGGGGGGTCTTTGATTTTCTTATTTGGTGATTACGTCGACAGTAATTCTTTACTTTTTTACACATATTACCAACACATTGTCTATGCTTGAAAACGAAATGTATTTTAGCGGATTCCTACAAAAAGTTAATACGTTAATGTACTATTATTTTTGAGAGCTTTGCTTACTTTTGCTTACAAGAGCAAGGAGTGGGGGAATTGCAGTAAATCTGGTTGCCCTTAGGGACTGTTCAAGTATTACGTAAGCAGATTTACTGCAATCTATCTGTTTTATACTTTCTTTCTAATTTCCTCCTGCGGCCGGTCATTTACATACATTTGGATTGTTAAATATAGATCAACCAATCCTTTACCCACATTCCTGAAAAATATTTAAAATAATAATACAAAATTTTGGAATTGGACTTTATATTATTCATAATATCTCGAAGACTTTCGTTTCGCAAAGCCTAATAAAAAACAAAACAAAATCTATCAAGTTTTTATAAATCTTAGCGTAAAGATTAGAAACGTTTCGCGTTAATTATCTTTATATATGAAACTATCTAAAGTTATGCATCGTCTGCTCCAGATATTTGTGATTGTTTACTGTTAATTATAATTACGCTATGATGATCAACCATCAATCGCACGCGACTTTCGCGTTTTAATTTATTCCCATTTAATAAAAATGCAGTCAGCGTGAAACATTTCTCTTGCCCGTGGCGGGTTAGTCTGTGGTTCGTGTACGTAGAATTCGGTCGTCTTGAGATTCGGTTTTTGCGCGAGTGCGTAGGTGATGGACTCTTGTGCCTGACCACCAACATGCACATACTGGAAATAGGCGCTGAACAAGTACGATTTAGTTTTGTAACATGTTGTAAAATTTGTAATGAGAATATTAAGTTACATGGTGGTCGACAGTATTGTTTTAATTTTAACAATTTAACAAATTTAATTCTCAGGAGATGGATTATCCATTGCCATTTTTAGACTGTATATTAAATAACCTATCTACAATATGACCTTTAGATTTAATAGTGTGTAAAGTTAAATAATTGTATCTTATTTTTCATTGGTGTATTATTTTAATCTATACTAAAAGACAAAAGCTTGAAGGTACAATCGAAATGGCGAAATCGACAAAAATAGATTACCCACAAAAGATAAAGCCTCCCAATATTGATCCAAACCGATTACATGCCGCTAATCTAATTATAGATAAAATTCTTGTTATATAGGAACAAGTAATACATATTAAAATATATATAATATAGGGTACATGTATTTACTTTATAAAACTTCTGTCGTCTGGTCACCAGAATGGAAATCCTATAATTTGTTATTACGTAAACTTTACTACAGAGACTAATAACTACTAAAGTGTCCATTTTAATATTATAAACAAAGATTTGTATTTTACGTTTGTAACGAAAACTACTGGACTTTAAAAAAATCTTTCACCATTAGAATGCCACATTACCATTAAGTAACATTGCCTATATGTATATCTAAAATATTTTAAGAAATAAATGTCCTTGTGACTCCATGACAGGCTGTTAGCTCTTCATATAAATTGTATTAGTATTGTTAACCGCAAATTCGTGATCAACGATTTTGTAATTCAAAATTGTCAGTTGTCAACATTCGTGATACGATATCTATAGACGATTCACGACATTGCTGATACATGATTTGAAAATTGTTTATATACGGCTGCTTCTAGATGATTTGGCTGCTCTGGATTCCAATAGATATTGTTTATTCTCAATTACCAAAGCAAACACAATCGCGCAAAACGCATTGGTTATTGGTTTGTGGACTCAGTTTCCGCACTTAGCCTCTCAATAGGTCCGTTGTGCATAAAGCCCTGGCTAACTAAGCCAGCCTAGCTCCTTCCAAAAGCACAGCCTCCTGGGCACTTCGCAGGCTTCACGGAGCGACCTCACAACTTCGCATTCCACTGTGACTGATTCCTCTGCGCTGAAACAGCCTCTGCACATGGGGCTGTCTGTTGCCTCTACCACAAAAAGATGTTAATTAACTAGACAATGGCCCGTAATTGTCCCTATCATTGTTATGAGATTAGTTCTGTTTAGGTTTAGAAGTCGCTATGTCAATTGCGGTTTAACTGCTGGCAGCGCCATTTTGGACTGTTTGCAGTCCGCGCCCGCGAAACGCATTTTATATATCTCTATTTAAAAAAGGCTATAGCATTGCTTAAAATATTTGTTTTTGTAAGAATAGATTAAGTAGCCCATTAAACACAATTTTATAAAATACAGTAGTAATAATTTTATGCTTTATTTTTAAATAGAACAACATTTTTTTAATAACCTGCCTATATGAAGTATGTATATTTAAAATGACTATATTTTGTCCATTAATATTGATACAGGATGAGGACAATGTCGTGCCAACGAAGGCTGTACTGGACGGCGCAGTCTTCAGGACTGTACCACGTGATCAAACTACGTTTCTCATATGGAAAATTACGGTATGTTGAATTATCTGTGATGTTTTATTATTTTAACACTGTATAAGAAATGGGACAAACTATTAAATAATCTCAAGTTCCTGGCTATTAAGTTGGCAAAAGATCCATTCACTTAAATTTAAGTAGTACAATTTGCTTAGTTAAAAATCTTACATGAATGTATGAAGAGAAATGCTTATACGAGTTACGGCCACTTTACAATATGGAATATCTTCCGCTCCTCGTAAAACAATGAAGATATGATATAATAGTTAACAATGACATTACAATCACGCATAATTATAGTCACGATCACCATCGCTCCCATAATCTTGTGAAATACCACACGTAGGAAGGGACTTTCACCAACTCGGAGTACTGTGAGAAAAAACAATTTGTTTACAGTCTATTTTAGAGAATGGCTTAGTGTAATTATACTCCTCCTACAGCCAATGCGGTTTTTAGACGCACGGCAATTGGGTTCGACGAAAATATCACCTAACTATATGGAATAAAGTGAAAACTAATTTAATTTTACCTTTACTTTAGTATTCATGACTAGTAATTTTTTACCTTACTAACCGACTTCATTAGGACAGGTGCCCCTTGGGATATTTTTTTTAAATACACAACTAGATACTTATTTATGGATCATAAATATTAAGTATTTCATTCAAAATTTGTCTATGTGCGCAAAAAGCTCGTACGTTGAAGAAAAACATCGTGTGGAAATCATGCCTTAGAACCAAAAAGACGACGGTCTGTCAACAAATGATCACGAAATAGATACAGAAATCTGAGGTCTGAAGACCTTCAAAGCTTGCAACGCCACTGGTTTTGTTGCTTTACAATTTATGATTTAGATCATGTGCAATACCCTTAATCAAATTTTTATTCAATAGCAATCACACCCAACTATTGTGAAGATACCATTTTTTGCAGATCGACTTATCACAATAAAACTGTATATGTTTCTTTGTGTATAGTATACAAACTGAACGTACTAAAATACCTCTTTCAAAAACTTGCTATTCATTAAATATTTTGTCCTTATTATTCTCAAATGTAAATAAATAACAAACAACACTTATTTGGCTATTACTTTTGTGACTGAAAAGGATTTGCGTCTTCTAAAGTATACTTAGTATTAATTTACAACTGTAAATAGTTAGAAATCTATTATATATATTTAATATAACATATTACACTATCGAGTAACAAGTTTCGCTTGAATTGAGGTTCAGAACCGTGACAAAGGATCGTTAGCCTCCAGGTCAACGCCCAGGTAGTCTAGTTATACCTAGTTCTAACAATACAACAAAAAATATGTATTGTAATAACACTGTTATGTGCTTTTTTTGATATTTATATAAGTTTACAAACTCTTGCCAAAAGAAATTGGGACAGATGTAAAAAAATAGAAGGTTTGCGAATAAATATTGCATAGTAAATTAATCCAATTGTTTAATAACAACTTGATCAGTCATTGTAAAAAAAAACGTGTGTACGTTAGAAGTTATACTTCTTTGGCGTATCAAGATAAAAATCTTTTCAAAAATATTATTCTACGTTTAGAAAAAACGGCACTGGGAATAGAAAAAACTAAAATGTTGGCTATAGCTAACTTCAGGGTGACGGTGTGCGCGCGCGACGTAAAAATTTACTCTCATAATTTTTCCCTAACGCGCCAAAAGAAGTATAACTTCAAAAAAGTCTTTTGATTAGCCTTCTGTACTCGAGACACGCCCTCGATTTTTGTGTCTAAGGCATGCCGGTTCCGTCTCTATGTTTTATTTCACCGTACAAGTGAGTGTTAAATGCCCATAAAGAAAGAAAAGTCCATCGGCTCAGCAGTGATTCGAACGCACATATCAATTACTAATAAACGCGTGAAGATTTTGGTACTTTTACATCATTTCATATTTCCAGTATTGACAGATTCGCTGGCATATTATGCTAATATGTTGGCATATAAACATTTTTTGACACTTGAATATCGTATACTATAGATATTCGCCATGCTTTAACCAACTTTGATCTTAGATAAAAAATATCCTCAATCTAAAAAACCTCATCGTATCGTATCGTACTTAAAAATAATAGCATTTAATAGCAAGTTTTATATTAAGGTGAAAGTATATACAAAACCGTCGACAGGGTGCCACGACACAAATGAAACCGTATCAAATTACAATTTTAAGAATCTTGGACGTTCTAATTACAACAGTACAACTTCTAATTGAGATTTTTCTCTATCAGAATTTTTTGTATCCCATCAAATACTGCGGTTGGCTACGTCTGTCTGTATAAAACGCAATACTCTCAAATAACTATTTTTGTTTGATTCATTATATATTTGTTAAGTTGACAGAAATTTAACAGTGATAATTTTAATCTTGCCATACACGCGGGCGATACTGCAGACGAAAGCCAGCATACATCAAGAATTAAAAGCATCATACGGGGATTTTAAACCCGCCGTGAACGAAGTTGTATATTATTCAAAAGAAAATATTCAACAAAGTCGCGAGAATTTTACCCTAAGGCTCAGTGGTTGAACTATAGTAAGCGCTTAAAAATACACGGATTCGTATGCTTTTAATCGCAGACTGCATTTAGATGATACAAGTTCTTTTCTAATCGCCTACAATGCTACATTAATTTAATTGAGTTTTATTTCATTTATTTATTAAAGTTCCCCACATCATATATGAAGCTATAGTATGTTACAAGCTATATTTTCTAAAATATATGACAATTATAGTAAACATTCAATAAAAATATTATACACTTCAAATTTGAGATTTTACTAGTAATAATGTTTTCTTATAGTGCCAACTCCTTGCGAAGGTTGGCGAACATCATGGCTAGCTTAATTTGGATGCCGCGCTTCTAAACAATGACTTGGTGCTTTGCCCAAACCAAACCAAATTATGTTTTGCTTATTATTAACTAAAATAATACTACTAAAACAGCGGATTAGGAAAGCACTTAACAATGTTTTTGAGTTTTCCTAAATTAGACAAATGTGACAAAAACATTATGCAGCTAATCAGGATTAATTTAAATGCAGGAAGATGAATCTAGCAGATCTTAACTTTCATTGCAAATGAATAATTCGGAAAATTAACTTGCAAGAAAATTAGTTGAAAGCACTCACTAGGAAGCGCATTAAATTAGCCTTTCTAAATCATGACTGTGATCGTTATCTCTCTGTGACTTCTTGAAATAAGCAAATGCACTAGAATTATCTACGAGAGAAAATATAGAGAATGTTTTGTTTTAGATTTGCCTTTCATACTGCAAATTAGTATAAAATTATACGATTTTCCTAACCAGAACTTTGCGTATACATGTACAATAGAGTATTTTATTTTCAATGGTGTAAGATCACTTGACTATTTTGTTGGTCAACGGTTTTCGTTAAATTTTCTAAAAGTTATGTATTCGCTTTTAAAATAGTATTGTTATTATATGAGCCACTGTCCTCTTTGTGGTTAGTGTCAATGGCGTTCGATACCTGATAAAATCTATTATATAAAATTCTCGTGTCAGAATGTTCGTTCCCATACTCCTCCGAAACGGCTTGACCGATTCTTATGAAATTTTCTACTATTTATCTTTCAAACCCCTAAGTGATAAGGGGTGTCCACACCAAAAATTTTTTGGTTTTTTATATAATAATAAAAATTTGTTTAAATTTTATTTTTTTATGATACAGCATACATAAATACATACAACCCCTTATTTTTTTATTTTAGATAGTTATTTTTATTAAACTAAAAAAATGTTTCCTAGCAATATTATAACGTTTGCCGGGTCAGCTAGTAATAATATCGCTTTTGTATGCAAAGAAGCTAATCGTTTTTATTGAAAATTATTATCAGTGATAAAGAATTGAGTGTCCGATGCTTGCTCTGGAGCTTAAAGACAAGTATCAGAATTTTCACAGGTATACAAAATTTTTCTAACAATCTTTTAAAATTTATCACCATTTAAGAGTCCTATTGAATTTGCAAGTGACATCTAATAAACAAAGTAAAGAGAAAGTATTACACTTAATTAGGCATATAGCAATAAATCAGTTTGCATGCGAGAAGCGCACGCGCAGACCCACTATTATCTCAGCGTGTCTCGCAAGCTGTTATTTGTACATTTTATGTTCTAGGAAACTTTCGTTTTTCCGCATGAAGTGTTACAGATGGATTTTTTTGTCTAAACACAATATTAGAACTCATCTATAAAACTGCTGAAGCTGGCATAAGAATGAGCGTTCTTGGTATAATGTTTATATTAGAAACATCAACTGGCTTTCTGTACTGTCTAAGTGTTTGTTTTATAATATTATGTATGTTAGCTGTAAGATTACTTATAATTAAATAAATGAAAATTATATCTTTAAAACTTCACCAATTATATAGTAATAAACATATAACTGAGTTCTTCTTATACCTTGATACTTCGGCTTATAGAAGTATTTTATAAAAACATGAGCCGTGTTGGTTTGCGTGCGAATCCCAACCGAGGGGTTGTTCTCCTACGTTTCTACCCTAACTGATATTTATTTATATCTGCGCATACCGCGAAGGAACATTTTAGTATATCGCGATTTGTGACAGGCTTAAAAGTTCTTATTCATAAAAGAAAAAGATTAAGTAACCAAATACCTTCCCACTGGGCTATTCCAAGTAAATCTTTTTGACCCATCTGTCGTCACGAACGATACGATAGGACTGGCCAGTTAGAAACATTGCTAATGAAAACTTTTTTTTTAATTTCAATTTTAGAACTCTTTGATAACCTAATGTAGTGCATTCATTTGTTTTTGTGAATTGGCGGCAAATCTAAAACTCTTGTTACACGTGGAAATGAACGTAACCAAATAAGTACCAAATAGGTAAGGCCACTGGATTTTAATTACTATTTCATAAAAAAAAATATGAAATATCTATTATTTATGTAATCCTTATTAAAGGACACTATTTATAAACAAAAAACTTCGGCCAAATTGAAAAAAAAAAATAATATTCCAACGAATAGGAGCATCCATTGTGGCAACAATATGTTGAAGTGCTTAATCCTAAGATTTGTTAATGAACGTTACAAAACCGGTATAGGTCAGTTCAAATACATAAAATAATATATAAGTGGGAATGAAGCGCCACAAGATGCCACAAAATCTATGTATTTGTAATTTTAGGAAATAAATAAAGCTGGTAACAAAGCAAGTCGCAACCAACAAGTTGTGTACCATTAACAAATCGTATTTATCACACCAGAATGTTTACGATCTTTAGGCTGGTTTTGAGTACTAACCCGTCCCAGGCACGTAGGCAAGCTAAGATAAAAACTAACGGCACAAATGATTCATTCTCGTACACCGCTATGCAGCTCAGCTGACCGCGACGTTGAACGTGTAACTTAGTGCAGCTAAAAAATTGGACCAACAGATTTATTACGCTGGTATTGATTCCGTCTCACCTATATTTTATTGTTAATTAATAGAAAACGTTCATTTACCGCACAATCGATTTATAACCGATCGATTTATAATAATTATTAACGTCAGTAAAAACCAGTACATTATTTATTTGAAATCAATATGTTCATGATAATTTTTCAATCTAATAGGCGAGTAGGAGACAGCCTCATGTGCCTGACACACGCGTTCGACTTTTTGGGTCTTAGACGCCTGTTTCCTCACGATGTTTTCCTTCATCGTTTAAGCGAATGTTAATCGCGTACATAGAAAGAAATGCCATTGCCTACGACCTCAGGGATGAGAGTCGCACGCTGAAGCCACTAGGCGAACACTGCACAATATTTATTAGAAATTTAAATACACAAAGTATTAAATGAAAATAATGCTCAAGAAATACAAAAAGCTTTAATTAGATAATTTATAAATGTGTGTGTAGTAAGTAGTCCTATGGGACCTTAGTAGCTTGTAGCCACAGAGCCGCCCACGTTACTTCGTAGGCTGGCGATCATGTCTTGTGCTTTCTTCTTACGATATTTGCCTTCATATAAAAAAAAACGTTTCCTATGAATTTTCGAGAATATTCATTGCTTAATTTTTTTCGTGTAAATCGATTAACAAAGGTTTATTTTAATAACAACACAAACAAAACCAATTTTCCCTCATTTAAATAAAACACAAGTTGTTAGTGTGATACAATTTGAATTGTTTTATTTACAATAGTTGTTACGTATTAACAAACCATAACGATTATAATGTATTCATAGATGGTAATCAACGCCCGGGTCTCGTTAAAAAAAACAAATACTTACCAACGCAATTTAAAAATGCATATTACAAATGCCGAAAACTTGTTTGTTTGAATTACCGTAATCATAGAAATATATTAGTTTAACAAACAATAAAATTAAACTTATCTAAATAAATAATAGACATGTCTAATTTATGAAAGGAGATGAAGTGAGTATTCTATGCCGAGTATTCAGAATTCAGTCATTATTATTTTTATTATTAAAGCTTTATTGATACATACAACAATTGGTTAGTTAACATTTCTTAATATGAGTATTATTTATGTTTGTATAAGTTGTACAAAGTTAAGTTCGATTTTTGATTTTTGGTAGTATGGTCTCTTTTATGGTAGAAACTCCTCCATATTTTTTTCATTTCTCTTTTTTTTTCAATGCTTTGTTCAGATCTAATTGTTTGTTTTGGATGATGGGACCTTACATTGAAAGCGCATAATTTTTATTGTTGTGACGTGGAGCGCCTATTTTTATTTATAATCCTGTTCTTAATTTTTCATATGTAATGGAGGGTGTTGGTCGCTTTGGGGACCAGCCAGATTGGAGTATTTAGTCATTATACCAATCATCAAACAATTAATCATTCAACCAATGTGTTATTAAGTATATCAAAATTCGACTTAGGGTACTTCAAGAAAAGAGCGTACCGATTCTTAAAAGGCCGGCAACACACTCGCGAGCTCTCTGGCATTGAGAGTGTCCATGGGCGGCGGTACCACATAACCGTGCCCGTTTGCCACCACCCAAATTTGCAATAAATACAATAAAAACATGTACATATGTTTCAGGAGTCTTCCACAGAAATGCTTCCACGGACTCAGTTCGGCACATTCTACGACACTGATGCTTATTTAGTATATTCAGCGTCTTTGCCTGGTCAGCCTGCTGGTCCTGATGTTATTGTAAGTATTTTCAAAAAGCTAAAATAACCTAAGAAGTAGCGAATGGAATCTGGGCTATACAGACCCAGATACAAATTCAAAATTATCTGTAGCACTGTTAAATACGTCAAATTTTAAAGTATTAATGGGTATGTTGGACCTGGGGCTTGAAACAAAGTCTGGGGGGATGACATAAGCTCACGTTTTGGCACAGGACCAATCATACAAATTCGATTGGCGGTAGGGCGTCACGCCTGTCGAAAAGTGATTTTGTCAAAAGCCCCTGGTGTTTCAGTAATCGGGGAACAAACAAAAAAATTAAAAATTGAAAAGTAAAATATTCTCATAAAAAACAACGGATCTCGTAAATCAATTCTCTGAAGTTAATTACTGGTCCATTTATTGCAGTATAACAATACGAATTAGATACGGTATCAAATGTAAGATCTCAGTATGTACATTAATAAAGAGGCACAATCTGTATTGTGGTCTTCTAATTAGTTTAAAGAATCGTATACACTATTACATAATGTTACATACATGTTAGTGTTTATTGTTATAAAATCTTTACTTTAATTTGTTGTTGATGAGCAGTACTCACTCCAGCGTGCGATTCTCATTCCTGAGCTCGTAGGTTTGATCCCCGACCAATGGACTTTCTTTCTATGTGCGCATTTAACATTCCCTCAAACGGAAAACATTGACTGATCTTCGAAGTGTTTTATGTATTTGTATAAAATCAATCGTTAAATATTTTATTATAATTTAATTTTCGCTTTGTTCCAGCGCCGTGAAATAAAAGAAAATGGTAGCGGTGAATGCGCTGAGCGTCATATCCACGCGTGGGCCGGCGATCGAGGTGGTCCGGGGACTCTGGCTTTACGACGCGCAACACAACTCGCTTCTCACGTTGGGGCACCTCTGGTCATACATAGAGAGACAGCTACTAAAGAATCACCAAGACTATTGTCCTACTTTCGTGATGGGATTAGGTGGGTATTATTAGTTAATTTAACCAACATAAGAGATTTCTTGAGTCTTGACATTATGGCATTCCGGTAGAATGCGACAGCGACCCCGTAACGCGGCTTTGTAGGAATTACTCGAGGTGGTTTTAGTGGGTATTGCTCACCCAGTCTCTGAATAGCAGAGATTTTGGCGTGGGTCGAGTCCCACATACCTCTGCAACTTTTGAGGGCAGGGGATGCGCAAATGCATTTCCACCTGGCGTATCAAAAAAAAAAGGCATTATGGCATAAAAAATTAACTTCTTTGATTGTTAATCGTAATAGATAGGTTAGTATATAGTATTCTTGTTCCCTCCCCCTCCCTAATGTATAAAACCTAATGGTTGTTTCTTCCTCTTAGTTATTCTATTATTTTCGCTGACGTTAAATGAAGACGTATCAACATTACTTACAATTTTATTATCTAAACTAATGAGAAATACATTCGTGTGCTTCTCTATTTATTAATTTGTACTATTCCAGGATCCTTTGCAGTGGCTCAAACCTGAACGGGGGTAGTCGATTGTACAGAGTGAGCGGGCGCAGACCTGTTCTTCTACAACTGGAACCCGTGTCATGGTCTCACCTTGCCTCTGACGGAGTGTTTGTTCTTGACACATCTGCTCTCGTTGTTCTGTGGTTGGGTCGAGCTGCTAATCTTATTGAGAAAATTTTTGGTGCTAAGGTAAATTCTGAAGTTGTGGCCAGTTATTTTAATAACGTGATTGAAAAATTATGTATGATTTAAAATTAAATAACATCTCCTCACATTATGGATAGAAAATAGGACCTATGTTTTGAGGAGAGGGTTAAGGTAAATTTAGAGAAGAAGAAATAAGAAAAAGAAGTCACTTACCTACTTTTTTAATAACTTGGCAGAAGAAGGATATAGTAGTAATTCTAATTCATTTGCGATATTTGTTTGAAAATAAGTGTTGTTTGCCATAGTCATATTCTAAGTTGATTTGCTATTTTAAAAGAGTACCGAGAGTTTTTTACGCCTGCTTTTTCTCTCGGCCTACACCCTGTATTCTTTGGCGATGAGTAGGGATACCCATTCAAATTTAATGACGTGGAATAAATGATACCTGTATCTTATATTCCATAATAAACATATTTTTTTCTTTATTTATTAGAGTAGGTACTATTACTTTTCCTAACTTTTTTACAATTTCTAACAGATTGCATATAGAATGGCCCGTGGCGCCGACAAAGGCATGTTGTCCCGTCGTATAACGATCGCTCACGATGGCTACGAGCAAACCCTACCAGTAGCAGACCGAAATCTTCTAGACTCTGTCTTGGACCTTCGAGCTCGTTCTGTACGACCAATTGCCCCAACCCTGGATCCACCAAGACCTGCTAGATTGTATAAGTCCTCGAAACCAACTAGAGCGTCCCCAGTTGTATTGACACAGAAACCAGCTGCTCGACTGGAAGAAATCAAACGCGCTCCGCTGTATAGATCAGACTTAAATGATGATGTAAGTACCTTTGTCTATAAGCACATTAGGTATTCAAAAAATTTAAAAGTATCAGGCGTAAACTAGGTACGTCTTTAAACATGACCATCATACTAACCTACGGCTACTGACATTTGTGATTAGTACATACCATCCGTATCTATCACCTCGACATCCGTCGTTCCACAAGTGAGCGATTCTTAAGGCAGTTCTTGCTATGCACCTATGTGGAACCAGCTGCCCACTGAAGTATTTCCGAACCAATTCAACTTAGGGTCCTTCAAGAACAGAGCGTACTTAAAAGCTCGTACTTGCGAGCCTTCTGGAAATGTGAGTGAACATCAGATGAGCCTTCTGCCCGTTTGCCTCCTATTACATAAAAAAAAATTACGAGTATATACTTAATTCGACGTTTCGAACTTGTTACAGCAGTGTCAATGAAAGTCATATAGACGGTTATATAATTGTAATAACATTTTTTTAAAAATTAAGAGCCAGTGTTAAATGCGCACATAAACATAAAGTCCATTGGTGCACAGCTGGGGATCAAACAGTTTTGATAGTCGCACGTTGAAACTACTAGGCCAACACAGCTTAGACTAATAATCTAAACTCCTATATTAGCAACACATCTTCGATTTCAGGGCATCTATGTAATAGACGCTGGTTCACGAGGAGTATGGGCTTGGGTTGGATCAAACGCTTCCAAACTTAACCGTGGGGCGTTAGCCGCAGCCCGAGGGTTGGCAAAAGCTCGTAGATACAGTGGCCCGGTGTCAGTTACTGTATCAGGCAGAGAGCCTTTGGAGTTCGCAGCCCTGTTCCATAAGTGGAACTGGTGCGACTCGCGAAGAGATGTGAGGTTGCGGTCGGCTCGATCGGCTACAACTAAGTTGGATGCGGTCAGCCTTGCGACGAATGCTTGGTTGGCGGCTGAGGTAATAAAAAAAGTGCGTGCGTACAAAGTATACACGTCAGAAGTGAAACTTCTTTGCCAGACGAATTTTGAAGTCTTGTTCATATTTATACAAATCTAAAACTTTAGATTTCCGAGACCTAGATGGAGGGAAAAAGGAAGATATGTTAGGAATTTAATTGTCAGTAAAATATTAAAAGTGTCGAAAATTAATACAAATTCTTAATTTAATTAAATAGAAGAAGAAGAAGAATTAATTAAAATAGAATTTCAATAAGGTAATTCGCCCTTCTCACTCTCTCTCAATCGATCTGAATAGCTCTCTCCCTTTTATTCGACAAAAATTCTGCATATCTTCGTGACGCTATTATTATTATCATTGCGTTTCATCCGTAAAAAAATTACCGTCATGCGCCTAAAGAAGTTTTACTTCAAAAATCGCATAATAATTTTGATTTGTCTGTACACAATTTCTTTACATTTTTCTTATTGTACACAGAATAGCGAATCCAAGATCAAAATGACAAAACATTGATTAGAAGATTAAAGTTACTTAGCAGAAGTTATTTTCAGACTCAGGTCCCAGATGATGGTTCAGGTGCTCTCCGAATGTGGCGGGTTCGACGTGAGGAAGAAATAGACCGAGAACGAAGCGCCTTACAAGAATTAGAGCGGCCTCAACAAGCCGTTTTCTACGATCGAGACTGTTACATCGCACTATACACCTACCACACGCCAACCGGGGATCAGACAATACTTTATTATTGGATGGTAAGTGTGTAAGGTAATGGCAGACCCAGTAACTTCAATACAAAATAAAAATTTGTAGTTTTTCTATGCACTATGTCTCATATAATTCCTGTCGTGATTCCAATAAGTACCCACTTTTCTCATAATTATTTACGTTAAAAATTGTTTGGACCATTAATTACAATTATAATTACTCACTTTATGTAATAGGAGGCAAACGGGCAGGAGGCTCACCTGATGTTAAGTGATACCGCCGCCCATGGACACTCACACTGCCAGAAGGCTCGCAAGGGTGGTTCCGGCCTTTCAGGAATTGGTACGCTCTTTTCTTGAAGGACCCTAAGTCGAATTGTTTCTTAAATACTTCAGTGGGCAGCTGGTCCCGCATAGTGGTTGTGCGCGGCAAAAACTGCCTATTTTCAATTTCACTGGCGCTACAATCGAATATTACTTCCGTTTGTTATTTTTTTATAATGATCAACCTTCTGTGTTTGACAAATGTAGATTTTGAAGTTAGCGTGGAAACAACTTCCAAGAGCGATAGCTATTCCGATTTCAATAATTCATTTATTGTACCACACGATGCCAAGTTTGTAATCATACTGGACGTTACAGTTCAGCACTAGACTCCAAATCCTTACTACTTTGTTTCATTCCAGGGTGGCTCTTCGCCAAATGATCTGAGGAATTTGGGCGTTAAAGAAGCCAAAGACCTCTACACAAAGTTGGGGCGTCTTCCTATTCAGGTATTTAATTTTTGGCAATAATATAATTTTATTAAAGTAACTGTAATAACATTTCATTATATTTTAAGGCTTGGGTATACCAGGGCAAAGAACCGGCACATTTCCTTCAAATATTTAAAGGACGAATGGTCACATACTGCGGTACTGCCACAAATTACGATCGTGAGTATATTTTTATTTAATAAATAAGTAATAAAACGCGTCAAAATTGAAAAAGAATTTTAGTTCTATAGACACGAAATTCTTCTTACTAATAATACAGCCCTCAAGCTTTACAGATGGATAAATTATCCTCTATCCCATCCTTGCTAGAAATAGGCAGAAGATGGTAACTGATAGCTTAGGACAGAGATTTTTTTGCTTGTGTGATTATGTCAATATTTTATAAAAAATGTGTGTGTACTTATGTAGGTACACGCGTTAGAATGGTATTTAATACATTGAATTGTTTTATTATAACGCATTATCTAGGTAAATAAAGTTTATTTAAATATCACAAAAAAATTATTTCTATTAAAGAAATGGACATTTTTTATTTTAAAATGTTGACTATGCTAACTTCAGGGAGTCGGTTTTTTGTGACGGTGTGCGCGCGCATCGTAAAAATTTAATCTCATAATTTTTCCCTAACCCGCCAAAAGAAGTATAACTTCAAAAAACTAAAATGTTGACTATAGCTAACTTCAGGGTGTCGGTTTTTTGTGACGGTGTGCGCGCGCATCGTAAAAATTTACTCTCATCATTTTTCCCTAACGCGCCAAAAGAAGTGTAACTTCAATAAATAATTTTATGTAGCCAGTGGGCGTCGCGTGATGCCCCCACCGCGTGCATTAATTCGCGTATCGGGTCAGTACGCACGGGAGGCTCGTGGCGTAGAAGTTTGTGCGTCGACGACCACCAGAGGCGCGTGTTACATAGTGCGAGAAGGGGCTCGGATTTGGGTCTGGTGCGCTGCCACTGCTACTGGTGACGAAAGAGAGGTCGCTAAGAACATGGCGGCGGCGGAACATGTGTTAGTCATGCAAGGTATATCTTAAACTAAAGATTCAAAACAGCCCTAAACTGTCATAGATTTCTGTATACTTTCATTGGTATACAAACGATGATGAGTCTAAAACTTATTTCGATATGGGAGTCGCACTAAGCGGTGTCTTGACTGTAGGTTAAGACTAGATGCTGGTTTCTTCGTCTGAGTAAGTATTCAAACTCAAACTCAAAATAACTTTATTCATATAGGTAAACAAGTACACTTATGAACGTCAACAGAAAAGATGTTAAAATGATTCTAAATTTACACTTACAACCTGTTCTTGTCCAAGCACCAAGTCATTGTTTAGAAGCGCGGCATCCAAAATCAAACTAGCCACGATGATCGCCAACCTTCGCAAGGAGATGGCAACTATAAGAAGAAGAAGAACCTGTTCTTAAGTCAAGGGCGTAGAGCGTGAAAGAAGGTCTGGCAAGAAACTCTCTGCCACTCTTTTTCATCGCTAATTAATTGCCTAATTTTTAAAAAAAACATTACACACCTGGTATTCCAATGCACAATATCATGGTTTAGAGACGAGCGTGAAGCCTTGCTAACACTGCCCTAGCGAAGTAAATGAAGAGTTACTGTGTACTTATTGTACACTTATTATAATTAATGTATACTTATTCATTTGCTAATTACATTTCTTAATTAAATTACACCGTTCTTTGCTTATGCAACACAGCTTCAAAACAATTATTATTAATTTTATTATCATTTAAGGCAAAGAAAAACCAGATTTCTGGACAGCGTTAGGAGATCGACGCCACCTGCTCGTTCCAGCGCCTCTTGAAGAGATGCAACGACCCCTACCGCCTCGTTTGTTCTACGTGGCTGTGGCCTCACCTGGACATTATACTTGTAAGTACATATTATACCAATATTGCTTATAATCTGCATTATAAATTATGCTCTTTATTCATTCACTCACTGACTCACTCACTCACTCACACATTTACACTTACGCACTCGGGCGTCTTAAAAACAATTGAACAATCAAAAATAAATAAAATAAAAGATGTGGTAATTAAATTATATATATTATTTTAAGGAATTTATAATTAAGTTTGTTATGGAAGAGCTGGGAACCCCGACGCAGGTATTTTTTTACTTAAAAGGGTTCCCAAATCTTATACATTGTAATGCATATGTACTTATATAGCATAACACATTTTTATTTTATTTTATTTATTATTATAAATAGATTGTGTGACTGATCCTAGATTTAAAGTCAAATAACTATGTTAATGACGAACTTGGAGTATTGTTATCCGAAACAGACTTTGGCAGATTCTTATAATAAGGATTTTTATATTCTAAACTACTTATCGTTAAAATCATGAAAATGTGTTGATATAGAAAAAATGTTTTTATCAGACAAAATTCAACTTAATACATAGATGAACGAACAACATTTTAGCGGAAAAATACGAATCTTTAAAAGTTATTTACATAGAAATGAAATCCAAACGTGATTTCAATAACTAATTTTCGTTTCTTTATGAAATTCCAGTTGAGGAGATAGTATCATTCAGCCAATACGAGTTGTCGCCTGAAATGTGTTGCATACTTGATGTACATTGCGCTGTGTACGTGTGGTTAGGCGCACACTGCTGTCTTCGTGCTAAGGATGATTCAAGGAACGTCGCGCTTTCCTATCTCACATTTGGTATGATGGTGTTTGTATATTAGGTTGAGAAATTTTCCCAAAATTTTTAACAAACCCGTTACCTAAAAAAACGCTTTTTAAATAAAAAAGTTTTTTTTAGTTAAGTCGCCAAGATAATAATATCGATCTTGTAATAAAGGTAATACTTATTTGGTCACAAGGATTTTCAATATTATAAACCAACGGTACATTTCATACGGTTTAAAATCGATTTCTATAAATATTTTCCTCTTATTAATACAAAATTTACTTAGTATCTACACCTGTCTAAGTATTTAAATCAATTTCAGATCCTGCATCCCGCGATCCGGATACCCCAATATACGTGCTAAGTCAAGGCCGTGAGCCTCCAAACTTTACTGGATTCTTCCCCCATTGGAAGAGCTCCATGTGGAAGGTCAGTTGATGCCTATATTATACCTAAAACGTGATTATAGAATGTAATCTTGTACTGTCTCTAAGACAAGAACCTGACTGCGATAAATGATAATCTAAATAACAATGCTTTAAAAGACGTCTTCAAATGTGTAAATATAGCTTTATTTTTACGATGCATAAAATGCCGTCACAAAATATCGACACCCTAAAGTTAGCTATAGTCAACATTTTAGTTTTTTGTGATATCTAATTAAACTTTATTTAATTTTATTTAGATATTTCGCGTTATAATAAATCTTTCAATAAATTAAATACCTCTTTTCTATTGTTAGTGTCGTTTTTTCTACAAACGTAGAATACAATTTTTTTTAAGATTTTTTACTTATTACGCCAAAGAAGTATAACTTCTAACACTTGTACATAAGTACACACACGTTTTTTACATTATTTACCTAACTCGATGTTTCAAGTGCTTAATATACACTCACTTACCAGCATACAGCGTGGGTTTGGGTATACTATAGGTACTACGTTAAAAAACACGTGCTCTGAAACATAGCTAAAACCCTTTTTGATAGTTACGTATCTATCACAGGACACTGTGACTTCTATGGTTAAAATACCTGTACAATTATAAACGTCTTGATCGGTCGCACCAATGTTTTTTACCAGAGTTAACATGTGTTTCAGCTGATGAAACTGAATTTTCATATTAATAACGCACCATAATTCTTAATTTCAGGCCCACAAGACGTTTAGTGCAATAGTAAGCGCATTAGAGGGTAAAGCAATAGTACGCGGTGGAAACAGTGCCCACCAGAATGGCAACTCTGAGAATCAATTTGATCAGCACGAGAAGTATCCTTTGTCGGTATTGCGCGGCCCCAAAGAACATATGCCTTTGGAAATCGATCCACTTACTAAAGAGGTAAACGTTGTTTTGCCATTTCAATTTGTTGCACATATGCTGTCAGTGTCTTTTTAGTATGCAGTATCAAGTACCAACCGATTTTATATATTAGATTAGTAAAACAAATTTTAACTCCGTTTTGTATATCCAGAGATAACCCTACAACATCACAAATATTATCTATTTAAATAAGTAAAGGTTAATGAATATAAATATAATTTTACTTGTAGCTTTTTTCTAAGTATAAAATTTATGATTTTACCGATCGCGAGGAAGCAGTTACAGTTTCAGGTCAATGACTTTAAGTATTAAGTTGAATTTCAGTTATATAATAGAAATCGGAAGGAATTAGTTACTACTATTGTCACTATGTACGTATAACTGTCAATTGGCCGCAGAAAAAAAATATTTCTCTCTATTATATCAGCTGAATGACAAATTAATAATAGTATAAGATCCCGATATACAACGGCCTTCACCGAGATGCTTATTTAATGAAACGTATTTTATATTTAGTTTAATATGTCAATAAATATAATCAATATGGGTTGCCTAGCAAATTTCAGTCCAGAGTATGTTTAATTAATATTAAAAAAAAAAAAATATAATTTGCATGTAGTAAATTTTTTTAATTTTTTCAATCAATATTTTTAATCAGGGTAGTATTATATACGTATCACTATAACTTTCTTTTTTACTAAAGATGTATATATACTTTAGTGTCACATAAAAAATATACACATAAATAATTAATTGATTAAAAACAACCTAACGTTTGCATATTCTATGGGCTTCATACTTTCGATTGGTATAGAATTTATCTAATAATCATACCGGTGAAATGTTTAAAAAAATTTTTTTTTTTAAATATTAATTAAAATACTCTGGACTGAAATTTGCTAGGCAACCCATATGGATTATATTTATTGACATATTAAATTAAATATAAAATACGTTTCATTAAATAAGCATCTCGGTGAAGGTCGTTGTATATCGGGATCTTAGACCATAAAAAAAATATGTAAATATTAAACCAAATTGAATCTTTCAGCTTTATTTGACACACGACGATTTCGTGTCAACATTCAATATGCCGTACTGCGAGTTCCGGACCCTGCCAAATTGGAAACAAAAAGAGATGAAGAAATTTGTTGGCTTATTTTAATTATTAACCAAAAATACAGCTTGTGGAAATTGTTATTGCACTTGCACTATAATTTAATTAAATCAAAATATTCAATTATGAAATTATATGTTAATAATAAGATATAATTATTGTGATCTAAGCTGCTTTAAAATAAAACAAAATATTTTTTTAATGTTATTTATTTTTCACAAATGTAGCACTTATTAGCTAGGCATTAATTATTACATGATAAAATTAATAATTATCTTTACAATATACAATTCCTTAAAAGTCCATAAAATATTGGTTTATTTCAAAACATAATATTTACAATATAACTATAGATACATAACATATGCCTACATGATATGGGAGTGGGCCGCGTAGCTAAGGCACGTGGTATTAGTATTGCGTGACACGTACGGACGTATTACGTACGCACCGTGACGATTACGTCATTCATTAAACCCTAATTGATTCCTAACATTTCAAAAATATACGACTTACAACCATACAAAGTTATTTCAAAGATGGCTGCGCCGATTCATAATGAGAAAGTTATCTAGGAACTTACAATAAATTGATAAATACGAGAGCATAATATGTAATACCATAAATAAATAAATTACATGTTTGATAATTGTTCAATATCGACGCAACGATCTAACGACAAACTGGGAGTATTCCTGATACCACCACCGTATGTTAGTAAAAATACTCCCAAATTTTGTCACGAACATACATAACTACGATTGAACAAAACAATGATCAGAAAATAAAATGCAAAAATTTTACAAAATTTCCAAAATTTCTTTGGCAACAAATCGAAAAAACGGCATAACAAAAATATAGACGATGGAATGAAATAAGCAATGAAATAGCTGCCCTAACATAAAAAATGCATTCAAACAAAATAAGCGTAAAAATACGATGAAATCAAATAACAAGAGATAAGTACGTTACTCTGAAATTCGCGAGTTATTTTAAAAGCTTTACAAACTTAACCTACAACGTAGAAGCGGATAATTGATCATACAAACGCCGTTATTTTATGATATGGTTCACTTAATTTCACTAAGGGAGCGTTCAAGTATTACGTAACGCAACGTGAACTCGCCGTAACGTTTTTCAGTATCCAAGTACAGTACTGTATCCAAGTCTAGTAAAACGTTTCGTGACCACCTAGTGACTCTTTAGTTACTATTATGTGGTGTAATTAGAAAAAAATATTAACAATAACGCGTAATTCAATCCCCGCCCCGCATCGTAACGTTTTACAAAAGGACCCCCCTCCCTCCCAAAATTCGTTACGTAATACTTGAACGCTCCCTAAGAGGGTAGACCAAAAATTCGTTAAAACCTATCACAATTTCACGGCGCTCGCGATCGGCAATAGAACTCGATATAAAACTAAGGTAAACAAAACAACATAGCTTTTGCAGGAATGTTAACAGTAGAGCAATGGCAGAAACATTTAACGAGAACCACTAGTAACAATACGGAGGCCTGCATCCTTTAGCACCGGGTGTCCATACTAAAACACCTCAGACTTAACCAACGAAGATAAAGCTCATCCATCACTTCTAACATTCTTTTGTCAATAAGGAAAAAAATCAATTCCGCTGTGTACTTTAACAATTGCTTTGTACTTTATGATCACGACTACGATTTACACATCAACTTGGTTATCGCAAGCCCAATATTTGTACATTGTTGAAAAGGGCACGAAGGTTTTGGCACCTTTGGAAAACTACTTAAAAATAGGCCGTCTACTTATACCCTCATACTTACAAGGTGTTTGTATTAATTGACGAAAATAATAAAGTGCTAATAAGCAAAAGCACATATTAAATTTATAAGAATGAGAGAAGTGCACAAAATTTTTCACTTTCAGCGACATAACTTATGGTTACAAGACACATTTTATTTCCTTAAAAAAACTAAGAGGAATCTAATTCGCTATGCTCAGGCAGTGTTTCAAAAATTTATGTAAAAACAAATTTTGGGAAGCCCTATGGAATTTGATATTGAGCAAATTTGAATTTATGGCACTCAATTTCGTTAACGCGTACGCAGAATGACGTGCTCTTACAAACTATGTGCTGGAGAGGCGAAATTAGTGCGAATCTGTAAATATTCATTCAATTCCTCTGTAAATTCTCAAACTACCCTCTTATTTATACAAGTTGAATTCGTCTTTTTACAGTGTTACTGAAATATTCATAAAAACTTAATCAACATTGTTACACTCCTCTTTTGTCTCTTACCGTCAAATTGTATTTACGCTGTGATGAAAAGAGACAAAAGAGTATGTACTTTGGTTAGAGCGGTGTAATTAGATTTAGTTTTTATGAATAAGCTCAGTTTAATAAGAGGTTAGACACAATTTAAATTCCATGTGTTCAGTAGGCCGTGTAATCCATTCTACAAGGATTCATCGTTACTCTATATTGTCTAATAGTAAAACGAGTTAAACGACTAAACAGTCTCTTTGTCACAATTATATATTTTATAAAAATACCTTTAACCGGGATTTCTTTACATTAATATTGTCATATAAAATCGCTATTATCAAGTAGAAACAAAATGGACGAACGGTTTATTTTTAACGTTGAGTTATCACTATTTTTGTCATCTACCCACATTTGAATAGCGAAAGTGATTAGACACCTTGTAGAAGCCTAGCTCGCGTAAATGGCAACATGAGACATTAATTTTTCTTTCATTTCAGAACACTATTTAGTGAGCGTGTGGTTAAATTCAGAATTACTATTGTTATAGATTATGGTTGGTTTGGTTTGATGAGAAAATTGTAAGAAAGCCAATGCAAAGCGATATCAAAGACCCAATCCCTCACTAACCGTTTCAAAATTTGACACGCAGTCCATAGAAATATAAAAAAACTGTCATAAAACACAATAGACAAAAAATATTTACAAAGCGAAATTGGTACTAATATGAACATGAAACAAAAATGAATGAATAATGAAATGTCAACGTTAAACCAAATCAATTAGTCAAAAAATATTTAAAAAAAAAATAAGCAATAGTCTTGATTGTCAGATCTATATTTAAAAATCGAACTCGGCTCAAAATACTTTTTAATTATATATAAACTCCTTTAGCGTTTTCATATTAGACATGTCAAGCACAAAATCTGAATTTAGACAAAGTTTTGATTAGTTATATCAATAAATAGCAGAACTATGACTTAATTGAGCCATTTTGCACCATCAAAATCTCAAATTTAGGTATTATTATCACGAACGCATTGATTACTACTAACATGTATTGTACTGTTAGTAATTAAGAAGCTTCATTAATTTACTAAATAGCAAGTTATCTATGGTACATGCACGAGTAACTCATACAGCAAGGTAGGTTAAGTCGATGCTTAGCGCTAAGTACGACTTCCGTATGTCAAATCTAATGCTTTAAGCGACATTATATATTAAATGTCTGTGTACGTAAGTTTTAATTTAATTTTGAAAGTTTATAGCGATTAACGTGCATACTTAGCCCCGTATTTAAACGTCAATCTAATTTCAATAGCTGTCAAACTATTTTGTCAATACGAAGTTATATTTGACAGTTCACAAAACGGGATCGTGACTTGTGTAACAAATGAGTCGTTAAGCATTTAATTTCGCTTCTAAGATGCGATTAGAAAATATAAAATTTATTGAAAAAAAAAAGTATTTTGTCTGTGACCTAGTAACAGAACAACCTTATTGGTTTATTAATCGGTAATAATGCAGCCACAAAACCAAAAATTTATTAATGTCAAAAGAAAACGAATCTAAAATTATAATCGCAAGATTCCCTCTAACCGTTTCAAACTATTTCTCTAGTTTACCATATTGTCCCATTCCAAAGTAAAAAAAACACTATTTATCGAGTATTTTAATTTTCTCGTATCGACACTAGCGCCGAACCGATCGTCAAATATCATATAGCAATTATCACATTTTGTCATATTCTATGAAAAGTACAAATTCGGTCAATACACCAAGATTATAAAATAAAACAATAACTTTAACCGACTTCAAAAACTGAGGTTCTCAGATGAAATCATCTTTCAAAGACAAGACGGTCCCATGAGGTTATGAAAGGATCCTGAGTATACTATACGTATTGCTTTGTACATTTGAAGTCGGTTATTTTCTTTCTATTTGGTTCTATCGTAATTGTAATATTGTTCTATGTGTGTGTGTATAATTAACATACGTTATCTTGTCTTTACTGCCTCGGTAGAGCCGTGTTAGCGGGCAAAGTCGAACTACGCTGCGATGCGTTCATGTACGCCGCTTTGAGATTGGATCGCATCGAATCTCTGAAATTTAAGCGAATTTTAAAAATACAACAAAATCGTTATTATCGGTTATTTGGTTATATTATGTACTGGAACCAGTTTCGCCGTTTTATATATGCGAAATCTATCTATGTCTATATTATCATTTCTCAATAGGGAGCGTTCAAGTATTACGTAACGAGTTTGGGGGGGGGGGGTTCCTTTTGTAAAACGTTACGATGCGGGGCGGGGATTGAATTACGCGTTATTGTTAATATTATTTTCGACTTACACCACATAATAGTAACTAAAGAGACACAAGGTGGTCACGAAACGTTTTACTATACTGAGTACAGTACTGTACTAGGGTACTGAAAAACGTTACGGCGAGTTACATGGGGGGGTCAATAATCTCCAAAAATTGCGTTACGTAATACTTGAACGCTCCCATAGTTAAAAACTTTTTTTCTATCAACATTTTAAAAACAGCATTGTGGATCTATGGGTTCGTAAGGTAATAATAAAATATCAACTTGATTATAGTTTCAATAGAGTTCTTTACATATTTTCAAAAATAATTAATTAATTACATATAGTAACCGAAATTCTTAAGAAAATTGGTCCTTCGAGCCGTTCGAGAGTTCGACGTTTTATAAGATTTTAATTTTTTAGGCACTACAAAAACAATAACAATCTTAACGATTTGACTACCTAATAGATTTTTGGGTGCCTCTGAAACTTCAACAAAAACATTAAAATTTTCTAGTAAATTCTTAGCGAATTATAAAAATATTACCTTGGCGACAACTTGGTATGGTCATGGTTGTGGGCAGCCCTATATCCGTACCGCTGCACCCTGCGGGCCAGTCGGGCCACCCAGCGCCGCTGCTCCTGCGCTACCGGTGCCAGCAGCAGCAGCTCACGCGCTCTATCCGCGTGCAACTTGCACGCTGCCACGCCCTCCCCGCCCGCCTCCGACACGTGCTCGGCGTGCACTTTCATACGGCAGCCTGTATAATAAAAAGGAACACATATTCACATTAAATAGGGAATAATTTTGGAGTCTAAAGGCAAAATACGTAGTGTCTAGGTTTACCATAGCTCATACTTCTATCGAACTAACATAATTCTTATTTGCCATTTCATTTATTGATAAAATTTAAATACTTTGTCAACTTCCGAACTATAGCTATACTCGCTATGTATATATATATATATATATATATATATGTATATATATATAGCGAGTTCAACATTCTGTTAAAAAGATAATTTTGCCTTGCAGCGACCTCAAATCCCACGGCTAAGATAATATATATACGTACAACATTTTGAACCAGGAAAAAAAATATCCTTAATATTTTCGTTTAATTAAACAAATTATTAATTATTTAATTAAATTCGTTTAGTTAACATATATAAAAAAGTGATCACATAAATTGATCATACAAGTAGTAATTTTCTGATTAAATGAAAATTTGGCAAAACGCGTATTAAACAAATTTGGCTAAGTCTAACTTAATAAAATATAATGGCCTCAAACATGAACAAATGCAATACTGTGTTTGTTCCTACGGTTACCATTTTTTACCTAAAAAAAAACATCGTTACCATGGAAACATTACTATAATACATATTTTATGTTTTGTTAGTAACATACTATATAATACAGATAAATAATATATGTTGCATATGAATCATATTATGTCAAATACTTACGTCGGCACTCGTAGGCCTGCGGTGGACGGAACATATGCCAAAGTGGTCGAGTGCAGACTTCACAGGCCGTCGGGATGTGATACGTTATGCTGACGAGGTCATGCCCTTTATGCTGTACTGTGTTACCTGGAATTATTATTTACATTTAACTTTTTAGATTTTGTCTATGATTAGATAATTTGATAGAAATAAATACCAAAAATTGTGGTCAAAATTATGTGCTCTAATTATATGCCTATACAAAGTGACCCTATCAAAGAATATGACAGAACAATTTGCTCCCACTGTATAAAAGACGACGCATTTTCACTCGCATTACTTTGGTCGATTCAGATAACATAAATTAAGGAGTCAACGAGCGGCCTTATCGCTAACAAGCGATCTGTTCCAGACAAGAAGAAGAAATACTACGGGTACTGTTAAGCTAAATTTAAAATTACAGATAACACTTAAACAATTAGTGCGTACAAACACTCTTCAGTTTTATAATACATACCAGTATGATCTACTCCATCAGTGGGCTGATCCTGTGCGTCTCCAGGTCTCCTGGCTTCCCCTTTCACCAGCGTACAAGAGCTGGAATATACGCGGGATGTCCTTTGCATCTGCCCGGATTACGTCCCCTTGCGTCACGGAACGAACGTGGAATACTTTGCTGGAATTTTATTAGTATATATTATTGGCTAAAACTTTATGTAACGAAATTTTTAAGAAAAATATATCACTGCAAAACACATATTGTCGATAATTATAATTTCATTAGTAACTTAAAACGACCCATTAATAAAATTTGATTGTAGATCGGATATCGTTTTTTAACAAACATCTAAAAACACTCAACTCAATCTAAAAACATCAAAATTTTTCGAGAAATATCATTTATAGTATTGAATATGTCACGCAGTACAGTACACAGTAGTACAAAAAAAATTTTTTGATTGGTTTTGTCGGTTCTGTATTGAATCCGGTCTGTTTTTTGAATAAATTTATTTTTCTTAATGTTATTGTTGTGAAATATTATAAATGTGTTGTTAAATAATGTAGTGACATAGTAAATAGTGATTTAAACTTTAAAAAGTGATTTTAAAATAAGAAGATTTTAAATTCTATATATCTTTCTAAGATGGATTAACATAATAATTTAATTTGTGCCCATATCATACAAAATATATAACAAAAAAGCCAACGCCTATAACAAACATTATGTAATATTCAGAATCAGTCAGAAATCATGCCTGAGATCCCTAATATATTATTACCTACAAATTAACAACATTTTGTATGCTATACATATGTTACACCTACTATATCAATTCTGAAAGTGGATGAAGCGAGAGAGATATGTCCGGACCGTAGCAAGTGGAGATCCATGGTCTCTGCCTACCCCTTAGGGAAAAACGTGAGATATAGATAGAATAAATTATAAGTACATACCTCAAATCCAATATCATGACCGGGTCAGTTGTATTCTGCTTGTCATTCTCTGTATTGTAGAAGATGATCTTCTTAGAAGACACAACCACGTACTGCTTTTTCCAGCCGTGTCTCCTTATATTCTGCTTGAATGGAACTGAAAGCCATCCCTCGAGGGTCTGTTCCATTTCTCCGTCTTCCGCATCAGCCGACGATTGAGATGCTGTTTCGCTGGTCAACGCGGCCAGCTTCTCTTTGAGTTGTTCTATCTCTGCGTCTTTGCTGTCAACCTGGAAGTGATGTTAAAGAGATATAATAAATAGAAAAAAACGTAGGCCAACGGTATTGTATAGGCTCTGAAGTTAGTGACAAATGCGGAATTGTTCAGGTCATACTGCAAAGTGTTTTTTTTGTAAAAGGTTTAATCCGTAAAATGAGTGCAAAAGATGAATATTTATACTTTTCCTACTTGCAGAGTCCTGTTGAATTTTCTATTTACTAAATGAAATCTAATATATAAAATTCAGTGTCACAATGTTCGTTCCCATACTCCTCCGAAAAGGCTCGACCGTTTTTTATGAAATGTTTTATATATATTCAGTAAGTTTGAGAATCGGCTACTATCTAATCTATCTTTCAAAACCCTCAGCGATAAAGGGTGTCCACCGCAATTTTTTTTTTTAATTTTTTAGACATTTTTTTAAAGATACAATACAAAAATACATATAACCCCTCTAGCATCAAAACCTATTTTTTTATTATTGTAGATACATAGTTATTTTTATTGAATTAAAAAAAATGTTTCCTAGAAATAATATACATGGCAAAACAACGTCTGCCGGGTCAGCTAGTAATATTTAAAAACGTAACGATGACACACCAAGCTCTTAATTTTTATTCATCGTACATATGTACGTTGTTGTCATGGCGATTTGAATTGTCATATGACACACTTAAGACACACATTACATTGAACACGAAAATTATGAAAAAGATATCAAAATGATTGAATTTTATTTCACTTTTAACATATAATCAGTTCGTTTGTCAGACGTTTTACCTGATTCTTCATTTATTATTTTCCAGGTAGCTTTTACTTTATCCATGCTATTTTTTTATTTTTGAACTTAAATATTGAGACTTTGCAGTTTTGCAATCTTTTTTGAAATTATTTGAATACAACCTAACATATTCCCTAAATTCCACACTAGTGTTATATTGCATTTCGTCATAGATTTCATATAATTTTAACCTTTTCCTGTGTAACTCCTCATTTGCCCAGTCACAGAAACTTGTTTTCTCAGAGACCAATAAAGTCTTTTGAGTAAATACTTTCTTGAATTCATCAATAAATGATCCAAATTTCACAATATTCATAACTATTGATATTTCAAATATGTATATTTAAAAAATATTGTCCTATGGTTGCGACTGGCGACTTGCGAACTGGTAGTAAATGTAAATTTACAATTAATTTACTGTTTTCTGACAATTCATAAGTGTACTTGTTTACCTACATGAATAAAGATATTTTGAGTTTGAGTTTTGAGTTTGGTTAAATCGTTTACTCAATTATTTACATTAGCGCATATTTCTTACGGAAAACGTGGCTTAATAAATAAATCCTTTATTTGCATCGAAAGTACATATTTTTATGTATTCATTAAAAGAAACCGTACAATCAGCCGAATCAAATTGGCTATGTCTAATTATAATTAAAAGCAATTAAATTTATTATATTCTATGTTTACCTCAAAACTTATAATTTAAGAACTCCCTCACATTATAGTATCCGGCCTTTAAAAATTCTAAGTGTGTTTAACTCAAATAAAGTTGGTCTAGTTAAAATAATTGGTATTTTTTAAGGTAAAAGATTTTTCGAAATCTCATTATTTTATCTTATCAATTATATATACAATTACAATAAACATTGATTACAAGTATATAATTAAATAAGCCTTTATAATAACAATCACGATCTTCAGATAACAGAAGCAATAAATCGAAAGTGACTAATGAATGAACCAATCTCATGGGAAATATGCTTCATGAGTCATAGTGAATATTAATTATGTTATTATATTTAATAGCCGCTTTTATTGCGTATGTATTGGCTTATTGTAGAATTTTAAACCCTAATTATTTAACGCATTTAAAACAATGAAAAAACAGTGTAACATCCAAGTAAACCCAAGATTTTTGTATCTGAATCGTGATTATAATTTTTTCTTACTAGGCAAGTTGGTGATTATTTTTCTGCGCCTGACACACGCCGTCGACTTTTTATCTCTAAAGCTACGGTTTCCTAGAAAATCGGTGCCGTTATTTAACGGCCGTAATGAAACGTTGGGTGACGTCACCCATACGTTGTCTATAAATAACATCGGAGTAGGTTTTCTAGAGAACGTTGAGTGTCACCGTAACGTCAAATAGCGGTGCTGTCATTTGCATGACGGCCGTCATAGCGGTGATAAACAGTAGTTCAACGTTTTTCGCGTGTAGCGGTGCGCATATTTAATTAACACAATGACTTGGACGAGCGAAAATGATTTGATTTGAACAATTAATTGATTTTGTTAAAAATCATGAAGCTTTGTACAATATTAAATCCAAAGAGTACAGACAAGCTCAGATGAAGCAAAATTTGTGAAGCAACTCTCCTCCAAACGCTTTTTTCGTCTTCTGATGACTCTTCATCATCCAAAAATACGAATAATGCTATGTCCAAATCGTCCATTTTTCACCAGTGCAGTCACGCTCGAGTGAGTACTGAGTGTCGCACTACTTTCTAGAAAACCACATTATTAACAACCGTAAAATGACGGCCGTTAGTTAACGGCACCGCTTTTCTAGGAAACCGTAGCTTTAGTGAATATTTGGTTATTCTATTTAATTGGGTATGCAAATACAATTAGTTTAGTATGGCGTGAATAATTAAAAAAAAACCCTAATTAATGAAACGCATTCAAAACTAGTACAATGAAAAAAACAGTGGCGTTACAACGTCCAGGTAGGCCCAAGATTTATGTATCTGTTTAGTTCATATTTTTTTCTAAATAAGCAAGTAGGTGATCAGCCTGTCTGACACACGCCGTCGACTCTTTAACAAAGACATGCCGGTTTCCTCACGATAATTTCCTTCACCGTACGAGTGAGTGTTAAATACGCGCGTAGAAATAAAAGTCCATGGTTACAGGGCCGTAATTCGATCGTACGACCTCAGGGTTGAGTCGTACGTATAAGCCACTTAAATCAATTAAAAGGATCAGTTTGTATGTGATATTGTTGGAATTGGATATGGGAGCGTTCAAGTATTACGTAACGAATTTGGGGGGTCCTTTTGTAAAACGTTACGATACGGGGCGGGGATTGGATTACGCGTTATTGTTAATATTATTTTCGACTTTCCAGTACTTTATACCACATAAAGGTAACTTTTAGGTATAAAGACTAGGTGGTCACGAAACTTTTTACTATACTTGGGTACAGAAAAACGTTACGGCGAGTTACATGGGGGGGTCAATAATCTCCAAAAATTACGTGACGTAATACTTGAACTCCCTATTACAGTGGGATTTGCAAATTTTTTAACCTACGAAACGGTCCAATTTGCATCTAACTCCGTTCGGTAGTTTTCAAGTGGAACTCTTATAATGTACGCAGGTAATTTAAAAAGAGTATTAAGCGGTAGTTTTTTACTATATTTCATCGTCTAGAATCAAGCAAATATTTTACCTCCATAGCGAGTCGAAGCCTCGTCTGCTGTTCCTCGATGAGCTGCTGCTGCGATTCCTGAAGATCCCTCTGCAATTTGGAGATGTGCTGGTCCGACTTCTCCTTCTCCCTCGTCAGCTCCTGCTGCAGCTTGCGATAGTCTTTGTCTTTGCGTACGGACATCTTGCTCTTGTTCTTCGTGGATGCTGGGTTCATGTCTTTCCTGTTGGTTTTAGGTTTATTTGTGGATTATTTAAGTCATACTCTGGATAGCACTTTAAACAAAAAATAAAGCAATATTACAATCAGTGTTTAACAAATTTTTTTATAGAACGGGGCAAATGGGCAGGAGGTGAGCCCGATGTTAGGTGATACCACCGCCCAAAGACACTCACACATTGCCAGAAGGCTCGCAAGTGCGTTGCCGGCCTTTTAGGAATTGGTACGCTCTTTTCTGGAATGACCCTAGCTCGAATTGCTTCGGAAATACTTCAGTGGGCAGCAGCAAAAAGTGCCTTAATAACGCTCCGATTTAGAACGACGTTAATCGAGGTCCAATAAACTTAAAATAATTCCTTAACGAAGAATCGAACCCATATACTCAATGTAGATCAAGACATATTAATATAACTAAATTAATATATTTTTCAAATGTAATGTTATGTAAGCAATAACCATACCGGTTCATGATTTCGGCCAACTTATTAACAGCCTGTTGCTTAAGCATGATCTCAGAGTTGAGTTTCTTGTTCAATCTGTCAACGTCTTCCTGGAGACGCTGTAATGTTGCTACGCGCTCTGCTAAAGCTGTACCGCTCCGGCGCAACTCGTCCACTTCCTGAAAAATATTATTGGTCCTTTAGTTCAGAAAATTGTTTAAGATTCAAAGACAGGGCTCGGAAATGTGTTCGGGTTTAAATCAATTTTGGAATGTACGAACGTAACGTAAAAATAAGTCGAATTTAATGCTGCTTAATTTTTGGCATCGACTTAAGATTAGCGATGCAACTAATACCAATAACAACAAAGCAATAAATAATAACACTATTAAAGATATATTTTAAAATAAAATATGTTTATTATGGAATATAAGATACAGGTATCACTTATTCCACGTCATTAAATTTGAATTTGTAGGCATCCCTACTCATCGGCAAAGAGAGAGGGTGAAGGCCGAGAGAAAAAGCCGGCGTAAAAAACTCTTGGTACTCTTTTAAAATAGCAAATCATCAAACAACACTTATTTTAAAACAAATATCGCAAATTAATTGGAAGAAACCTGTCTAGCACTAATCCCAGGGCTTTTTATCAACTAGATAATCGTTAACTTTATAGTAAGCCTTTATACACAGCTGTTTTTCAATACATTTATTAAAAGGCAGAGATAAAAGAGCCTCTGGGATTTTATTAAAAAAGAGTATCCCTTTTCCCAAAAAAGAATGACTAACTTTAGATAGTTTAGTGCGGGGAAATTGCAGCCTACGTTTGTTCCGAGTGTTGACATTATGCGTATATTCTATTCTAGTAGAACAGATAGGCACTAAGCGATATTTTTTTTCTGTTTATACATTCACACCGTCAAAATAATCGTTCTAAGGTATAATGCTTTAATGAAAGATAATTTTGGGTAAGTTTTGGTGGGAGATTAGGTTGTTTTAGAATAACTTCGAATATTTTAAGACATACCTTCCTTTGTAGGTCAATAGTAGCTCTATTCTCATGATCCCGGTCCCTAAGACCTTGCACCAAAGCATCTCTTGCTGATAATTCACTTCGATGCTGAGTGAGAGCCTCCCGCATCTCCAGGTCTTTCATCGTCTTCTCTTTCTCTAGTTCACCCACTGTCTCTTCCGCTATGGACCTGTAAGCGATAATTTAGTTAAATAAATAGATTCATTAAACGTTCAATAATAATTTTGTTTCTCTTCTAACATTTACCTAATGAAACTCTCCCTACAACTTAAGACGTAACATAGCAAAGAGTACATTAAAAATAAATGGAACTTCTTATAATATACTAGCTGACCGGGCAAACGTCGTTTTGCCATGTATATCATTTATAATAAAAAAATAGGGGTTGATCGTAGAGGGGTGAAAATTAGGGGTTGTATGTATTTTTTAATGCTGTATCATAAAAAAATAAAAGCAAAAAAAAAATATCTAAAAATTATAACAAAATAATTTAGGGGTGGACTACCCTTAACATTTAGGGGGATGAAAAATAGATGTTGTCCGATTCTCAGAGATACCCAATATGCACACAAAATTTCATGAGAATCGGTCAAGCCGTTTCGGAGGAGTTTAACTACAAACACCGTGACACGAGAATTTTATATATCAGATTTAAAAATCACGACTCCGTCTAAGTCTTAATATACATGGTAACAAAAGATTTGCATATATTTTTTTCGATAAATACAGCCTTTTTTAGAACAAAAATCTTTCCCAAACAGTGCTAGTTAACATATAAAATCGACATCTTTATATGTTCGCAGAGTGAGTTCACAGCGGCGATATTCTGCATCTAATATATGTAATATTATATTATTTCGACATTATCGTATTGGCTTAGTACTGTAAGGATAGCGTATGTATTTTGTATAAATACATATGTAAGTAGGTACCCAAATCCATTATTAATGCCTTTTAAATACAAACCTAGCAATAGCCTCCGAGTCTGCCCGGGCAATCGCTAACTGCAATTGATGCATAAGACTGGCCCGCTCTTGTTCAAGGTCGCGATTAGCGCGGGCATTCTCGTCGAGTTGCGCACGCGCATCGTTCGCCTGCGTTCGGTACATAACACAGTAGTGTTGCTCGTTCTCCAACTGGGAGCGTAGTTCTTCGCTCTGTAATATATTTTAACACTGTTATTATGTGTATTTAAATTATGGGATTATTCTAAAAAGAGGTTAACTAAAAATATTTAAAGGAATTTGGACAACACTTCTTAAACAATAAATATGACTAAGCTTGACTTGTTTTGATAAAAAATCCTCAAATATCTTATCAAGAAGGAACATCTTCATTAATTTATTTATGCCAATATAATCTGCCTTTCGAGGGCAACACAAAACGTAATTTAGGAAAATCTGTTTACACCTCTAATACTTAATACAGTTAAAATTTCACAAAATATATAAACAAAAGTAATTTCCAGAGAAACAGACGGTTCATTGACTTGCTTTTTCTCTCACAAATTAAATTTTAAAGTGAACAAACGCTAAGCCGAGCGTGAAGCATAACAACCAAAAATTATCATTTAAATTTATAAAAAAAACGAACTAGTATAATTCTACAGAGATTCTTTAATCGCGATTTATTTAAAAGAATAATTAAATAACTTAGAAAGTGTGAAAATTCAATTAAGTTAATGCAATAGCAGTGCAGTGTTGGGCGTTGGCCTAGTGGCTTCAGCGTGCGACTCTCATCCCTGAGGTCGTAGGTTCGATCCCCGGCTGTGCACCAATGGACTTTCTTTCTATTTGCGCATCTAACATTCGAACGGTGAAGGAAAACATCGTGAGGAAACCGACATGTCTTAGACCCAAAAAGTCAACGGCGTGTGTCAGGCACTGGAGGCTGATCACCTACTTGCGTATTAGATTGATAAACGATCAGAAATCTGAGGCCCAGATCTAAAGAGGTTGTAGCGCCACTGATTATTATTAATGCAATAGGAACAAAAATCTGTAGTGCACTGCACTAGGTTCCAAGGCACGCCTACACAATGGCCATTTTTTTAATTATGTGATTCTTTATTCGTCTATAAGTAAGCTTACATGTTCTGTTTCATAGTATTTTTGATTCATAGGCCATATCTGTATTTGATTTTGATCTGTCGAAGTTTTTATATTTTTATATTAAATTTATGTGAGAAGTTAATTAAAATCTACATCTATAATTAAACGCGTTTTAATCTCATAAAAATTGTCATTTAAATAGCACAATTTACATTTTAAAATTCTATTATAGGTATACGAAACTAGATAGACAAGAAAAAGACAGGTAGCTATAGTGACATTATTTTATTGCAGCTGTTCGATTAATTTAATTCTACAATACTATCAATTGATATGAATTTCAAGTGTGATTTTCATATACACCTATATAGCAACAAAAATATGTCACATATACACTAAGCCCTATGGGGAAATGAAAATTAGCCATCGCAATGCCACTATTCATGCTATGTAGTACGGTAAAGGTGTAATGAGCTGACTATGAACACTCCGCACTGCCGCGCACCACCACTATGTGGAATCAGCTACCCATCTATGTACTTCCGACCCAAAGGCCGGCAACGCACTTGCAAGGCAATGTGAGTGTCACTGGGCGGCGGTATCACTTAACATCACATGAGCCTCCGCATTTCCCCATGTTACATTTAAAAAAATTGGCCGTTGCAAGTACCTATTTAGGGCAATATTTCCGGCAGCGACAGGAGAAGTAGCAGGCCAAGTACTAATAAATACATGAAATTCCAAATGCTTTTAATGATAACATTTTAAATGTTGTTTTATTCGTTGTTCTAATATTGAATTTGTATGAAACCAGACAAAAAATAAATATATTAATACGACAATAAAAACGAAACAGTTATAAATCAAAAATAATAGATAGCGTGAGATTAAAAATTAATTAAATCAAATAATCGAATTACTAAAATAGTTTAATATAAATTAATATGCAGAGTCGAAGGAATGTTAAAATACATCTCCCGTATTACGCAACAGTTAATCAAAGTATACATCGTTTGTTTTTATCAATTAAGATGATTAAGCCAGTTGAATGCCTTTAAATTATCACCGTACCACAAATTGACAAGAACGTCGTGTTAATAATTATTATTAAATAAATATATATTTCCTCCATTATTATCTGTGTCTAAAAAGTATCTTTGACTCTTCATAACACGTAAAAATAAGAAATTAGACTATTAATAATGTCACAAAACATTGAATACTTAACGTAGTTTCAAAAATAACATCGTATAGGTGCGATAAGTAATCAAAAGACTATCTACCTATGCGTTTAATTGTGGTCGGTCAAACGATACGACGGATCGTATCGCGTGTCTGTGATTGGACTAGAGCTTGTCTGTGATTGGTCTAGAGCTTGTCTGTGATTGGACTAGAGCTTGTCTGTGATTGGTCTAGAGCTTGTCTGTGATTGGACTAGATAGAGCTTTCGTTTTATATTCTCACCGTACCTGTTAATTTGAAGTACTATCATGAGTTTGACAACGTTTAAAACGTTTGCATTCGATTTTTGAAATCTAAGGTTTACGATAATCTGCACCAGTACCATGATACTGAGATATATCTACCAAACGGGCAGAAGGCTCACCTGATGTTAAGTGATACCGCCGTAGTTGGCGGTACTCTTCCGTAACCTTCAAGAAGGATTTGCTACGCTCTTTCCTCGAAGGACCAAATTAACTTGTAACTTCCAACAGCGATTAACTTTTTTGTGGGCAATTTCGATATAGTTTTCTCTATAGCGCTTATGTCTTGGAATCGCGCAGTAAACAAACTATCCCTATCGCTATTGGGAGTCACAATTCCCGATACATACGTACAGCTACTGGTCCATAACACGTCGTATAAATCTATTTATTAGTAACGTAGCACAAGAGTGATAAAAGCAATATGTTTAATAGCTGTTTGAGACTTGTAGTACCTCAATTTAACATACCAGTGGCGCTACAACCCCTAAGTGTTGGCCTCAGATATCTATATCGTAATCTTTTTAATAAGCAAGCAATCAGACTTCTGTGCCCGATACAGCATCGATTTTTTGATCAAACTTTCAAATTTACTAAAATTTTACTAAAAATAAAAATAAAATCGGTACTGCATAAATGTACATCTCTTTGGTAATATAAAGTAATGTTTACATTTACATAATACAAACTTGATTATATGATAATATCAAGATGAACAGGAACTGAAATTCCACTTAAGCTATGCAATATTACTAGGTTTTTATTAACTTCATATGATACAGGCTGGACATCATGTTCATAAAAAAATATGTCACCTTAATTATTAGTAACATACTTATTTATTGGCAAAGTTTTTAAATTAACTTGTTAAACAACAAAAATACATATAATTTAATTTTTCTGCAAATAATTTTAGAAAGTTATATTGAACAATTTTTATACTTGAAGTCCCGCATCACACGCTTGTGAATGTGATCTTTTCTATCGACTTTAAACGTTGTTTTTTCTTATATGGAAGTAGGTGATCAGGCTTCTGAGTCCGACACACGCCAACTTTTTGTGTCTAAACCACGTCTCGCAATGTTTTCCTTGGTGAACGAAAGCTAATTGGTTTGAACATATGATCTTAGGGAAGAGAACTGCACGCTAAAGCCACAAGACCAAAACTTTAGTACTATAATAGTAATTAACACAAATTGTTTTTCTTCGTGTAAAAACCAGTAATACATAATCCCACTGAGTAATATAATTTAATTATCAAACGACTAATGCAAATGACTATGTAAGACCTTCAACCATTTATCCATTGTCTACTTTATAATATTGGCATTTTTAGCTTCGCACTGGGCACTAAAGACTACCTTAGAATTACCTTAGAATTTTGCGACAGACTGCGAACAAAATAAAACCATAGAATTGATTCTCTATCGACGTAGCTCACACATTTTTAAGTAACCATACAAATCCTGGTACCTGGCTAGGCATTTTAAAACATATATTGTAACGATATACTTTTTACAGTATGACAATATGTCTGCTTCATTTTAAACCGTTCTAAGTTCACAAGCTCTTGAGGAACAACTTATTAACTCAGTTTTTGTGAAGGAGGGTAGTTCTTTTTAAATAAAGAAAATCGAATTTTGAATACACGAACATAAGCAATCATTCTGGGAGATTCTCTATACATAAATGTATACAAAATCCTACATCTTATTATATATATGGAAATGAATAACGCCAGAGATATGAACTAAGTAAACATGAAACGAACAAGTGGTTTACGTGTTATTGGGTTAACACATTTTTCAGTATTATAATGCATGCATTTCATGCGACCTTGGCAAAAAGTCCATATATTTCCTTATATTATAAATATATTAAAAGTTCCTTCGCGAATTAGACGCGATGGCGAACATTGGGAAGATCCAAGAAAAAAAGCTTCGTCGTGCGTGACAGGTGTCATATTATTTATTGGAAACATCAGGTTTTTATTCTTTTTTCCGACGCGAACACCATATGGATTTGAGACTCAGGAATTTAAACGAACGAAAGCTAGCTTACAAGATGAACTACAATAGATAATAAAAAACTAGGCAGCATAAAAAATGCGCGTTCTTAGAAATCTTAGACAACTCTATCTTGCGTAATTCCAAGAATGGAACTAAACAAAATGGCAATACGTAAGTAATATGAATGTTTTGTTTCGTATAGCTTCAAAATAAAGATTCACTCATGAGAAACAATAACATTCTAAGGAAATTTGATTTTAACAATACGCAATTGAAAACTAATTATTCTAAATGGAATCAGCAAATGCGGTATCGATTTTTCTAGAAGCAGTATGTAAGCTATATTCCGAAAAATCTCGACAACCTTTATAGGAGAAATATAAATTAAACTCATTTAAATAGGCTTTGATAAAAGTCGATGGCCATCATCATAAAAATCAATATCTATCTTTAATCCAATGTTCAAGTTTTTTTTTTAAATATTATGGCAATAGTTTTGACTTTATGCCAGTTTCAAGTAAAAATGTTCAAGTTTTCGGTCAACTGGTACGATGTGAAAGAACATTATTGATGCAGGAGTGGTAAGGAAGGCTAATTATCTATAAAGCCTAAAGGAAATCGAATTTTAAAAAGAGATTGTGTACAGTTTTTTTTGTTACTATTTTCTATCTAGCCAGACACTCTAAAAACCTCGAAAATTTTACACAAACTCCGTATAAATTAAATTTTAGGTCGCAAACATGACCCTTGCGCACTGTATATCATTTTTGTACTTTCACAGATAACATATCGCTTGACTAATTGCAAATACAAATTAAACACATATAGCAAATGCAACATGTCTTATCTAGAAGTCTAGACCAATTGGTGACATATTTCATGTGAACATTTCTATGTAATGTGCGTGTAGTTGTCTAACGGCCGCTTTCTATACTCAATCCCAATCCAATTTTTACTACTAGATTTTGATATTTCAATCCATTTCTCACAAAATACTTTTCAATAACCGATCGATGGATAGCTTTTGTAAAATATCTTTAAATTCGACATATCGAATTTTGACATTTATCAATCTACTCTTAATCTGGATTAGAAATTATTTTAGATTATAGATCGAGTATAGAAAGCGGCCGTTTTAATGTTTTACATTAAAATACGTCCGGCTGTCACCGCCTGACGTGACGATTTTTTTTTCTATCAATAATCACGAGGTGTTTAACTCATCAACTTCAATACGTTTTTGACATACCAGATTCATACTTGGGTTTGACTCTCGACCCTGAATCTTGCCCTTAATAAGACTTTCACACGAAGACAATGGCATGTATTAAATGAAATCATTCGTGTTAGACAATGTTCCGGATTAAATGCACACATAATTGTTTTGACGATAGCTTTTTCGCATATAAGGTAAATAAATGTGTGCGTCTCAAATGCCGATCGCACAGTGACTCATATGTTGTTACGGCAAGGACAGTCTATTTCGGCGTGATGAGACTATTATTAATTCATAGTAGCAACCGCTTATATAAAACAAATTAAAAATATTCCTCGGCGCGTACGGCGTGTAAACGTCTTGATTTTTATTGATCGTCTGGTTAATCTGATAGTTGACTTAGGCCACCCATTGACAGTGCCTATCGCATATTATTTACACTATAATATTGCCACACGCCCCGTATCAGTCATCCGTGTATATAGAAAAGAAAACTACGAGCTCTGGTGTTAATGTGGTCATCTTATTAACATTCATTAACTTATGAAACCAATTTACATTTTAGGGAGCGTTCAAGTATTACGTCACGCAATTTTTGGAGATTATTGACCCCCCCACCCCCCGTAACGCGCAGTAACGTTTTTCTTTACCCAAGTATAGTAAAACGTTTCGTGACCACCTAGTGACTCTTTATACCTAAAAGTTGCCATTACGTGGTGTAAAGTACTGGAAAGTCGAAAATAATATTAAAAATAACGCTTCATTCATGCCCTGCATAGTAACGTTTTACAAAAGAACCCCCCCCAATTCGTTACGTAATACTTGAGCTCTCCCTTAGAACTATTTCATATTTAAACAGTTAATAACGATTATTAAAAACATTGCTATTAGCATAATAGTTAGAGCTGTTTTTAAATATGTCTGGCACGCGAAGTATGAAATTTAGTGGAGTAGGGCGGTCAAGGTCAAATTAATGAACTAATCAGATAGTGCTCTGTTTATTAATTTCAAACATAATAATATACAACAATGTTTATTTCTCGTTATCAAACAGGCAATAGAAAAGACTTCTAGGAAGTGCTACGAACATCTATTATGTGAATGATATATATAATCATCGTATAAAGATTTTGTAATAGAATGACGTTATGCGCATGACTTCATTGTCTTGACCTACTCTGAAGAGTTTTCTATAAAAGCCCTAATATTATACAAAATTGGATTAACTGTTGACTTGGGAGTCGATAATCTATACTCTCACATAGATTATGGTGACTTTCTATGGTACTATGATTGACCACATGAAAGACATATTTCAGAGACCAAAAAAGCTAAATTCGCCTTGCAATTTCCTGGGGCCTTAGTCAAGATGTCTTAACTTAAGTCAAAAACTAAATTTGTATGAAAACTTTTGGACACGAACTGGCATTTCCATACAAATTTAGTTTTCGACTTTCTACATACACTACTGTCAAGGCATCTTGACTAAGGCCCCTGGTATTTCTGGAACCTCTCGGTAAAATTCCTCGAGGGCCTTAAGAGCCTTAAGGCTTGAGGGGGGTAAAAGTTTCGATTGGCGTAAATGCTCTATTTCGTATTTAAGATCGCGTAGAAACAGTTCGGACCCATTAAAAGGGTTAAGGAAATGCTTATTATATATATTGTCCAACTAAATGATTTGATGTACACTTGAGAAGTGTGTAAAAAGTCAACGCAAAAGTTTGGTTAAAATAATTACGTATTAAGTTTCTTGGTTAGATGTAGAATAACCGTGTTCATAAAACGAAGCTCGCGTCTAATATTATCGTAGTATGGCACTAAGTTGAACAGATAACTGTAAATACACGAAAATTAAGGATGCGTGAAAAGAAACGTCATCATTGAAACAGTTAAATATAATGTGGGAAAAAATAGCTCTTTATAAATACTTTAGCATATCGTTTTAAAATTTAAGAAAAATGTGTATTTTAAGCATATTTACTACAGAAATTAACTAGATTATTTTATGTGTTACAAGATAATATAAAAATATCAATTATATAACAAAATTTGATAGAAAGAGACGATTATTTGCTGTAATAATTACGTAACTTGAAACTGAATCCGTGTAATAAAAAAATAATTTTTAATAAATAATAATTTTCTTAATTTTGACGTTCTCGACTCTCTTAATGACGTTCATTAAGTGCACATTAAATTACTTACATGAATAAATAACATTTTTCTTTTTTGGTTCAAACCGACTTAATAAGTCTTCAAAAATATACTAAATTTCTTTTTAATCCTAGAGGTCGTGCTTTTTTCTGTTACGTATATATTAAACGCGTTATTGTAAACGGTAAAACGTGATTACAAATTACGAAAATCACTTTTAGGCCGTTAAAATTGCACCACAAATATTACAAAAAACCTATAAAAATCATTATAAACATCAAACTCACCCTTGCATAGTGCATATCACGTTCAGCGCTAGCCGCCGCAAGCTTTTCAGTTGCATCGTGCAAAGCCGCGCGAACAGCTATAACTTCACGTGCACGTGAATCTCTTTCAGCTGCCGCCGCACGCGCACTACTTTCAGCCGCTGCTGTTTCTGCGCTCGCGGATAGCCGAGCGTCTCTTTCTTGCTCTAGCGCCGCTTGAAGGCCTGCCACCTATTAACCAATCTTATATGAGACTCCAAGCTCATTTAATTATAAGAAGCTGTCCTGGTCAATAGCCATAGATTACCAACACTCAGTTACTAAGTAGTCGAAGCCACTTAGATAATAATTTTATCTTTTATTATCTCTTTAAACTACTTAATCTACGAGAATCCATAGATCTGTTTTGGCGAAATAGACTGCTATAAATACACTTGTTTTATATTTATTTATTCAATGAAAACTATGTCATAATATTGTTAGTAATTTAAATAGATTTTCAAGGAATAACACTAATAGCCCCATTCAACAATATAATTAATTCCATTGAATTAATTCTTCCCTGTTTTATGACTAACATGTAAATTATGGGGACATAATCCACATATGAAATAAATTGTATGACATTGGCTAGACATAATCTTTTTCCTTATTAATATAATCAGGTAACAATAATTTGAGGCTAGTGAAGCCACAACAAAACAACAACTATGCATGGTCAAGAAAAATCCTATCCATCCATAATTAATCAATTAAATAAAATTTTGTATAATTTTAACCATCAATGAAGGATATGGATAAAATAATATCGCCTTTAGTAAAGGACCATAATTGTCCAATTTTTACATGTAGAAATATTTTATAAGTCAATAAAAATATGTTCTAGCATAGATTTTGTCAAAAAAAGCAAGTTTTGCAATGTTAACAGATCATTACCTTTTCACCTTCTTGTCTATGTTCACCCTCCAATTTTTGCAAGCGTTGCTGCATCTGTCTATAGTCTACACTTAGCATAGACATTTGTCTATCTTTTTCTTGTGAACCGGCCTCGGCTCGCTGTCTTGCTTGTTTCTCTTCATTCAACTTTCCTTGCAATGCTGCAGGTTACATATAGTTTAGCCTCATATATACATATATAGGACAAACAAACATATTTTGAATATTAATGTGCATTAATTTCATTTCAGTTACATTTTATTACAATTATTAGGCCAATTATCATGGTTTATTATGATCATGAAATGTGTTAAATAATAACATAACTTACTTAAAAGTAAAAAAATTCAGAAAATACACAATCAATCATCAATTTTACTTTAAGTCAATAGCAAATAAATGGTACCTGCTAATATTTTCTCCAGAGTTCCTGATGCATGTGAATAGGAAATGATTGCTGTAGTGGTATGTAGGTTATAACTACAATCTACTTAATATAGCTTTAATATGGAAATGAATGGCATAGTTGAAAAATAAATTGAACATACCCTTCACTAGCTCTAAGTTGGCTTCCTGTTTAGACAATAGTTGAGATCGTTGTGTCTCCTGATGTGCTCTTACTTCTTGCTGATACAAATGTTGAGATGTCCTAAGGTCATGAGATAAAGAGGTACATTCCTTTTCCAATGAAGATACACGCTCAGATAGCTGCCGATTGTCAGCCAGTAATTGGTTTATCTTTGAGGCAGATCTTTCCATTTCAACATGAGCAGCATTTAATCTACTTGTAGACTCAACAACAGTTGCTTCTGAACGTTGTTTAGCTGCCTTTACTGTACCCAATTCCTCAGAGAGTGAACTACATTCCCTCTCTAAAGCATCGCGCTGGGCTCTCAAGCTTGCTACAGTACCATCACTAGCTGCTGCTGCTGCTGCTTGTGCTGCACTCAATTCTGCTGCCTGCTTTCTAGATTTAGCTGCAGCTTCTGACTCCTGTTTTAACTTCTCGCGCATTTCAGTTAACTGCTTTTCCAAGATGTTAATCTTTTCATTGTAAATTTGTAAACTACTCATCTCTTTCACCCTCTTACTTTGTTCTTCATCTAATCGTCGTTTAACATCATTATAATTCATTTCTGCTTTTCGTCTTGTGTCAGCTTCAATTTCGGCCTTTCTTTGAATTTCCTTCAGGTCATGTTTTAATAAGGCCAGTTCCTTATCTGTGTCAGCAATAATTTTCTTATTTCTAACTTCTCTCTGAGACATGTCTTCTAACTGATTACATAACATCACTTGCCTATCTTCTAATTTTCTTCTTGCATCCCTTTCCCTCTCTAATAATTTTTCTAATTGTAGTATAGCTTCAGATCCAACATTATTTATATGATTATTTGATATAGTGTCTACAACATCGGCTGGTTTAATTCTTCCCCCACAGAGTTGGTAGTCACCATTGTAAGTAAATCCTACAAAAGGAAGATGATTTCCTACAAAAGCTTTAGGCTCTGGAAAAGATTCATCTAAAGCATCTGACTTATCAATGTCATCGAAATTCCTGGTGTCATCATCACTAGAAAGCTCAGGCACAACTGGTGGCACTGAATCCCTTAGATTTTCAAAGCTCCACTGGTCATTAATAAAAAAAGGATGCTGCTTAATTTCATCAACACTATTTTTGCCCAGTCTTCTCGCTCTATCAGTCAGCAAACCTCTTATAAGTGATTTAGCATCTCTTGAAATTTCAATATCATCAGGAAATTGCAAGGAATTTCTATGGTCCATAATTTTCCCATAAGTACCTACTAAACTATCAGCATAAAAAGGTGGGTCCCCTATAAGCATTTCATATAAAAATATTCCAACAGCCCACCAATCACACTCCCTACCATAAACCCCTTCACCATTTTGGGATTGCAGTACTTCAGGAGATATGTAGTCAGGGGTACCCACAGCATTACTGGCACGCACTAGTCCATCAGGACCCATTCTCATACAAGTACCAAAGTCAGCTAGCTTTAAATGACCATATTTGTCTATCAACATGTTATCAGGTTTAACGTCTCTATGAACAAAACCCATTCCATGAATAACATCTAGAGCTAAGACTATTTCCATCGTATAAAATTTGGCCCATTTCTCAGGTATATCATAATTAGACATTAAACTAACCAGATCACCTCCAGGCATATAGTCCATGACCATATAAAGATACTTTTGATCTTGAAATGCAAAGTGTAGTTTTAAAATCCACTCAGAGTTGGCATGTGCCATAATATGTCTCTCTTCCCAGAAAAATGTTGAGTCAGATCTTTTAATCATTTCTACTTTACTAAGAAGTTTCATAGCATAAACTGATCTAGTAGATTTATGCCTGACTAGTTGTACTTCCCCGAATGCTCCCCGACCAATTACCTTAATAAGATCAAAATCTGCTGCTTTCAAACGCAGGTCAACTATGTCTGATGAAAATTCCTCATCTGAAACAAATGGGCATTATCTATTCACTTGTGCTCAGCTATTTACTATAGTAAAATTTTTAATAATATTGGAATCGTATTAGATAAATATACAAAGAATAAACAAACAATATTAAACAAACTTTTTGTTTTAGATTTACAAGAAAAATAATTTCAATTTTATACATTTTCAACAATTCTATAACTATCTATAATTATAGTAGATTGACTATAATGTAATAAGAAAAAAATTGGTTTAAAAGACTTACATCTGCTGGTATAAGCTTCGACGTTTTTCATACGTCGAATGGCCGGGTGATCGCAATCAGATATCAGTGCTGTGACTGTGTCCAGGAGACAATCCACGTTGCCGGTTGAACGAGGGTCACACAGCCTCTCCTCCAGTAAACGTAGACGTCGCATACGTTCTTCATCTTTTACCGTTCCCATGCTGAACTCTGTCTCTGACCCTTACAGATCCTAAACGCCACCGCACATTCTCCAATTCACTACTCCGGAGAAAAACACTATTCTCATTACGACACATCAACTAGATACTGTTTAACACTTCTCAGACGACCTTATCATGAAGAACTTATTGTTTGATTAACAGCCTATGTTTCATTATCGAAAATTTTCTTACTATAACTTAAAATGACAGCAGATAAAGGTGGTTCTCACAACAAAGCATATGCACGATTGCTAACATAATTTGTTGAATTAATAACTAATGCACTTTATATATGATTTGAACTTAGTAAATACACATTATTGTGATAATTACTACTACAATATTAAAAGAAACAGAAAAATAAAATAAAAGTTAACACCGCTTCATACACGAATGATGATATCAAACAATAACTTGAAGTTAGCAATTTGCTACGAATATGAAAAACGAAGTCCTGCGAACTCCAAAAATGACTTCTATGCGCAATGGTCAATATAGATACAAATAGTTGCATACAGATAAGATTCTATAGAAAATTTGTCAAAATAATTATTTGTCCGAGGAGGTCACTTTTTTTCAAACGTTAAAGAAACTCATTATTATAGAGGGATGGGAAATACCTACAAACAATTGTATACGAATACCACAGACACGCTAGGAAAAATTTCTGACTAGGGTTGGCGATATATAAAGTGGCGTTAGATTGCAAAATTATGTTCCTTCTCAGACATATACAAAATTATCTACGTATGCCCCTTATAATTACTTTTTCTTGCCGATAAACTCAGACATTTTTTTTCTCACAGCTGGCAAAGGTCATTCTTGGCAAATTATAGATAAAAGGTATAAATATTTTTCATAAACATCTTTGTCGCAATTGTAGAAAGAAAGATACCAATTTATGCCATATATGAGGCTTTTCATTATATTATATACTACCGTCCCAGCGCAGCTTCGCATGGATAAGCGTGACCTATAGACCATGAAATATTTTTTTGGGTTAATATATTGACTGTAACACTCATTATAACATATTGTAAATTTCTATTGATATCAGAATTTTCAAAATAAGTTCAGTAAATCTAAAGATTATCCCTTACAGCCTCGAAAACTTTGTAATATACATTAGTTCTAGTTTTATAAGTAAATCAGTATAAATAGTATTGTAAAATTATGGCTTTAAATTACATATTTATAAAATTAATGTACGATATGCTGTTGTATCAGATACATCAAAGTTGTTATATCACATTTAATTTCATCTTACCTATGACTCTACATTAGAATAACAATTTTTTCAAAGAAGTAATCAAGGAAATATAATGTAAACTCTGTAATAAGACTTTTTCCAAAATAATATAATTAGAACTATAAAAATATATATAATATGACAACATTAGATTTGTAGCCTCTCAGCTTCTGTGTAAATTTATATTGCCTGTGGATACGCAACATTTTCATTCGCATTTCAGACAACTTTATTCACATATCTTTCCTTCCATAGACAAAGATCTGTGCACTATTCGAGTTCCTTTTGTTTCGATAGTCTGAAGTTCTGAACATTGAATGAAGGATATTGTATGATTCGCTGTAGGAATTCGGATCGTATTGAAAAAAATAAAAAAACACTTTTGTTCTCGTCGTTCGAATCGAATAGAACATGGCGGTGCTGAGCAGGACGTGTTGAAGATTACAGTTTTTGCATTCGCGATTAGCAATATCAATAAGCAATATTTATAGTAAAATTTTACCGTTCTGTAAATTATTGTTACTATTTTTAGTTCAGCATAGTGTTCTAGACATTGAGAATTTTTCAATGATATTGCAATGAAAATTATTACTTCACTGGTGGTGTAAAAATAATTGTGACAAATATAGCACATTATTTCAGGTAATTTATTGTTTCATTAATACTCGGATAGCTAATTTTTTACCCTTTAAACAGTATACTAAAATTAACAGTACCGTGAATTATTAATCATGAGATACTCTATTTTTGTCTTCAAATTTTGTATGTACTTTGAAGTACCTAGATATTTTAGAAGTTAAGCAGTTGTGAGGTTTATTTCATGGATATGTAAGATATGATATCATGATTCCCTTCAGTCAGATAAATTATCCTAAAGAGATGTAACGTGATGTCCTTTGTGTTTAATCACGTGTGTTTTAACTTTAGGTCGTTGGTAAGGGGTCAATAACTGCTGACTATTTCGGTATTATAGCAGAACGGAGGTCAAAGAGGAGGATTTTTATTTCTTAAAATATTTTAAGTCATTACTCATTCGTCAGGATGTTAAAATCCCTTGGCTAGGGACCATCTTGCTGCACCTGCATTGTACTGCCTGGCGAATTGTGTTCGCGTGGAGGGTGCGGGGTAGTTGAAGAGGAGTGGGAGGGGCGGGGTCGTCCGGCAGTCAGCTGTGCGAGTGTCATGTTGTCGCGTCGTAATGCGCCGTGGGAAGTGCCCTAAATTATATCCTCTCTATTGAATTTTCGCGAAATTCAAATCAAGTCCATGCAGATCGTTGACCCAATTTTTTATGAATCACAATCTCATTGCTTCACTTTGATTAGTCCAGGATATCAGTGTGAGTTTGTTGAACCAAGATTCATCTTAATTTTAAAATTATGTTTATATTGTGATCATAATGTATGTATAACAAACTGAACTGTAATAATAAGTTGATTTAAGTTCATTATATCCAAGAGAGAATCCCCATTCTTGATTAAAATGTGACAAAACATGTTAAAAGTTTCAGTTAATATGAATGTATGGTTTTGTTGCATAATATATTGTTGAGCATTTTTCATTGTTAAAATGTTTTGCTTTAGTGATTGTTGTGCAATCAAAAAATTCAATAAGCGCTTGTACAGTTTATGGCTGAGGGTTGCTGATAAACGGCCAGTGTGATTGAAAAACTTAATCAACTTTATAATTGCAATGCGCAATTATAAATTCACTTAAAGGTTCAGAGTTTCAACTAAACCTACCTCAATGTACTTGTATTACATATACCAAGAAACAAAAACATATAACACAAAAAATGAAAATTCTTTAATGTCCTTGTTATAATTAAATGAGAACTATTTCTCAATAGTTTTGTAAATAATATATCTTTAAAATTATTATTATATGTATTTCAAAGGTCATTTTATACTGGACTGGAGGACAGAAAGTTGTGTAATCAATTTTGAAGTTTGGCCACACCTAATTCCCATATCAAATTGAACATGCACATCATTGGATAGGAAATAGGGACTTCCTTACACCATTAATAGGACACATCCTTTTTATACAATGAAATATTGTTTTACATTTGAACAATATTTATATTATTACTAGTTTAGATTGATTACTAATTGGTCAGTGTGTGATGAAGTACTCTATAATTTCAGGAAGCCGTGGAGGTCATGGCTACACTCATCCAAGAGAATGGTATTAAAGAATTAAGCAAAGCTACACATGGAGTAGTTAGTAACCATGGAATGTCTAATCATACACATACAATGCCTAGACACATGGTACCCGACCATGAATATTGTGAAGCAGGTAATCCTGGACAGCCACCACAACAGGGCCTGGATGTTGGAGATGGAGTTCAGCCAATGGCACAAGAAGAAGAGGAAGAAACTCCAGAAATTGACATAGTGATAAACAATGTTGTGTGTAGTTTTAGTGTTAAGTGCCACCTGAACTTGAGACAGATTGCGTTGAATGGTGTGAATGTTGAATTTCGACGCGAAAATGGTATGGTGACTATGAAGCTGCGACGTCCTTACACGACTGCATCAATTTGGTCGTCAGGACGCATTACATGCACAGGTGCAACAAGTGAAGACCAAGCTAAAATAGCAGCAAGGAGATATGCTCGGGCACTACAAAAGCTTGGTTTTCAAGCACGCTTCAGGAACTTCCGGGTAGTCAATGTTCTTGGGACCTGTCGAATGCCCTTTGGAATTAAGATCATAGCATTTTCAAAACAATATAAGGAAGCAGAGTAAGTAAGCTTTTCTATATACTATACTATAAATAACATAGAACCCTAAAATGAAGTATTTATTATACCATTATTTTCCTCATGTACAATTTAATATTAAATATGGATTAGAAGAAAAACAAGTCTCAATGAAGTTGATTCATATCTTTACAATGTTATATCTAATAAAAAAAACTATGTAAATCTTTGAGGTATATATATGTATACTTGAAACAATAACTTTATAATATTTAAAATATACTTGTCTATTAGTTGTCAAGTAACAAATAGGTGCTAATTATATATGTTTTATACCAGAATAATAAAGGGTCATAGACAAATATTTTAAAATATTGTATCTTTATTATGTTACAGTTAATTACTATATTTATAAAATATCAATAAATTTTCAGCTACTTTTGCTCTTAATTAGTTCAATAGTCTGTGTTTATAACTTAACACAGACTGTTGAACTAATTGAGAGCCACATAAAGATTATTTAGGGAAAATAAGTACTAGTAATACTTTTTATATGACAATGTATCTCATATCTCTGGACCCTAATATCTAATAAATTTCTCAGTCAGTAGTAAGCATTACTTCTACCAGCATCATTTATACTATCAATGTTAAAGATAGGCTACATTTTAAAATTTTATTAAGCATTAAAATAAAGTGATATATTATTATTTAAAAGTTAATATAACATACATTACAGGACTACTAAACTAAGGCAATTTCATAAATAAATAACAAGTTAGACATAAACATAATATTATAAGCCTAAAAAGCTTTGGAATCTTTTTTCCTTATTACTCTCAGTACAATTCAGTATCTTTATGAAAAATAGTGTAAACTCCATTACACATTTTAATGTCAAACTCCCTAAAATTTTCAATAGATTCTATTCTTTTTTTTGGTATGTATGCGTTGTCTGTGTATGTGTTGTCCAAATAATATAATATTTATTTTTATATAACAACAACTCTATATATATAAAACACCTGAAAATGTAGAGTCCCTTCCGTGTTGCTATTTTGTTTAGTCTTATGCCGCTAAACTACATAAATAAGATTAATTTACTTTCTTAATAATTTTAAAAATAGCTTAGAACTTATAAATAAATAGGCCTGGAAGATATTGTTATCTATGATGCTTAGTAAAAATGTTTCAATTTTTATTATTGTCCTTTAGTTTGCCAAAATCGCAATGAAAATTAATTAATTAATGTAAGAGACATCCTGAGTAGTTGCTGAGAGTAGTTACAAGCTAGACTGGCTTTTCTTGTCCATAAGCTAATGTTTTGTGCTATGAAATATTTGTATTAATTTCCACACATTCCATTCACCACTAAACAACTTTACAACACATACATCTTCAAATTTGTACAGTAGTAATTCTTATTTAGTATATACATATAAACATAACTTATTGCTTTGATTTTAGTCTTAAAATAATGCTCTGTTTTTTGTAGGCCAGTATTTTATTGTTTAGAGTAGGCTTGATAAGTTACATTTTTGAGAGGAAGTAAGATAAAGTAAGTAGGTACATCATAATTGAGGTCAAAACACTGCAGAGATTTGTTTAAAATAGCATTTTATACACAATGCTTAATTAAAAAGTCATCTATAAAGTATTTATCTCAAAGTTTCATTGTTGTTTTCTGTTGACTAAAGCTTTTAATAGCTTCTGCTATATCTGTGTTTACTTTTGTCTGTTCTGTGGTTTTCCTTATGTCATCCGAGATAATGAAAATAGTTCTTGTACATACAATCATGTGTCTGGTCTGTCTCTTTTCTTTTTACTGTCAATATAACAATTTGATACCAGTGAATTTCCCTTCCCAATAAGGGCAAAAAGTTTCTGACCTAGCTTTGATATAAAGTTGGCTTGGTGACAGATAATAATTATTAGTTTGTACTCATTGCGAGTGCGGCTAGCGATTCATACATTGTTGACTTTTAAAACTTATTTCTTAAGTTATTGTGGCTCAATAAGCAACAAGGATGTTCTTTGGAAAACAGTTATTATTTTTCTATCGCATTTCGAACGCGGTCTGGGTTTAGTGAGTAAAATCAAGCACTCTAAGAGTCGAGTAAGATTTTGAGTTGAGACTGAGCGCTAAGTCTGACTCTCCTACGTCAAATGTAATAGATTTTGCCATACGGGAGTTCACCTTTCGTTCACCGTGAATATTGGGTTTATATTTTTATCAATAGATTTAAGTGTAAAACGTTTTTACGGTAGCTTTTTACTATGAAAGAAGATAATAGATTACCTCGCAAGCACCTATCAGAGAGTTAATTTGAATTAGTTCAACTAATATCAATAACCATAATAACAGTATAACCATTCTAAAACAATATGATTTTTCTTAATATTATGGTTTCATATTAAATATTATGTAAACTAACGTTGATAAAAGTACAACGTGTACATGGTGAAAATAATAATTTATGCATTGAAGCCATTAATCGCAATATAATACGCAATGATAAATCGCTTACTTTAGAAAGTTCTTAAAAGCTATATATATATTTGTTAAGCTTTGCTACGACTACTTTTTGTTTTATATATAATAGCATGATACCGCCGCCCATGGTCACTCACATTGCCAGAAGGTCCGCAAGTGCTTTGGCGACCTTTTAAAAATTGGTACGCTCTTAAAGAACCCTGCGTCGGACTACTATTTCTGGGAATCTTTACTGAAATATTTATTTCATGCAAATGATTTTTCAAACTTATAAAATATTTTTAGCGATAGTCTCCAGATTTATTGCTTAACGACAGGTTTACATTTAAATGACCGGTCGTTATTGCTACGAGTAGATTTGTTTGTTTTGTCTATAAAAAATGTCTAGAAAATTACGATTTATTTCTAAAATTAACAAATAATTAAACCGTACATTTTACCGAGTTACAACATTATTAGAATGTTGCAATGATTGCTGAATCATTATATAATATTTTTCTGAAATGAATTGTAAAACTATAAGTTCGATATTTGCCATGTGGTTTTCGCCATAACAGACTACAGCTAGGTGAAGATGTAGAAAGCTCGTTTTAGTAACTGATTGAGACATTTATATATAAATTGAAAGATGTATCCCCTTAACAATAGCGCAAGTGTGACGTAGATTAAAATTTCAAGCCAAAACCTTAACACAGACTTGACCTTTGAACTGTAAAAGTTGGCAAGACAAACAAGTGCCCGAAACAGGAAAACTCAAAAACGTGACGTTGAATATTGCCACACTTTTCTATAGTTCATTTATTGACATTATACGGGGTCGTTCAACAAGAGTTAACTGCCATTAATTAGATTTAAATTAGTGTACCATAGATTTTAATGTAAGCTGTAATGGCCCATGCTACCACTGGTATTGAACTTCAGGTCTGATTACTTTCCTTTAGGCTTGAATCGTCTTAATATATAGCCTTAAAAGTAAATCAATCAATCGCGCAACCTTTTTAGGTCTGGGCCTCAGATTTCTGTATCTGTTTCATGATCGTTTGGTAATCTAATAGGCAAGTAGGTGATCAGCCTTTTGTGCCAGACGCACGGCGTTACTTTTTGGGTTTAAGGCAAGCCGGTTTCCTCACGATGTTCCCCTCACCGTTCGAGCGTATGTTAAATGCGCAAATAAAAAGAAAGTCCATTGCTGCACAGCCGGGGATCGAACGTACGACCTCAGGGATGAGAGTCGCACGCTGAAGCCACTAGGCCAACACTGCTCACAAGGCTTAATAGTAAAAAAAATAGTTCATGAAAGTAGCAACAATATTATGTATTGGTTAACTCAGAGCGACCTTGTAAAAATAAATACTTTTTAACTTTTATTAAACGTGCTATTTTGAATTGAAAATATTCTATAACATTTGTCAAGAAAGGATTTATCATAACTAACGCGGGTACAATAGTATTATATGACTTGTAAAAATAAGTCGAAAATAAATACTTTTTAATTTTGTTTAACGCGCTATTTTGAATTGAAAATATTCTATAACATTTGTCAAGAAAGCATTTGACAACTAACGCGGGTAGTATGTTAATACCTAGGTCGTAGGAAAACGGTATGTTTCTTAAATTTTCGCTTCGTCATTCGGATACAACTTTCGCGGCAAACACCTTTCGCTCATGATAGCCTACCTCATGATATTGTTTCCTCGGAGGACACAGAAAACATGTTTCGATAACAATAAAAAAATATGTAAATTGTGCCACTTGAACGCGATAAATTGATGGATCTAAAAATATACTTGGTAATTTATAATTTTACGAAACAAACCATTATACACTTTTGTGCATTCTACAGTGTAACGAGAATGTAATACAAAATGTTGCAAGCAAGAAAATTCACAATTTTGCTACCTTAAATTTTAGTGAACGGAATCGGCCGTTACAATTTGGCTCCTACCATGCATGAAACTGGGGTTTGTTAGATGACTAGCTATGCTTCGGTTCTTGATTGAAAGTTGAAACCCTAAAGGGTAGGGTACAGGATGCAGATGTGTTAGGTTGGGGTTGCAAGTGCCGATTACTAAGCATCGGAAACGGCAACTATTGCTGGCTTTGCCGCGGGCGCGCACTTACTTGCTGTGCTTTGCACCACTAACGCCTGAGCACACACTTAGTAATGTTGCAGTGATTTTTATTATTGAAGAGAAACTTCTCTAGGCGCATGAGGCTAAAACTTTTACGGATGAATCGCAATAATAATAATATCTAATGTTAGCGTCACGAAGATGTGCAGCGTTTTTGTCGAAGAAAAGGGAGAGAGCGATTAAGACCCATTGAGAGAGAGTGAGAAAGGGCGAACGTAGCATGAAGCAACACGCTATTGGTTGATGTATTCGTTTAGTAGTTACATATTAGAACTTTAGATGGCAATTCTGTCGCATAACGTCTTGTGCAGTAAACGCAGATTTTTTTATTAATTCATATTATCAATAGCACGTATACAGTGTGTAAGCAGTGTGAATATAGATATACAAATATATGGAGTGATCATATACTGGTACATTATCGTCGATTGGGGCTTTTACCTTAGTAATAATTAATTTACAAAGAAGTTTCACTTCTGACATGTGTACTTTGTACGCACGCACTTTTTTATTAGTAAAATTAGTTTTATTAGTTATATTCAGTTTAACACTGACCTAATTGCGCTGACCAACAAGCGTTGTCCATTATTTGTTATGAAAATTAAAGCCTTTTCTTTTGTCACTATACAAAAATATAATACACCGCAATACAAAATATTTGGTCTACAGTGTGTCTTGGGACACGTAGGGACTCTTCTAGATGTCTCCACTTATTTCTATTCCAACTAGTCCACATAGCCCCCGCCGTGGTTTTCAGATTATCCCTCAATCGCCTGACCTGTCTCTCTTTCTTTTCCCATCTTGTTCATTTCTTATGACTTGCTCTTTGTTATAATTGCGCTACTAAGTATAAGTTTTAGGTTATTTTTTTATTTTCTAAGAAAATAAGGTTTAAGCACGTAATTTCTAGCAAATTTTTGAAAATTGTTATCGGTTTTATGAAGGAACTGCGTTTCTTTTAATTAGCTCAAGTACTCATGTTCTCGTTGTTCAAGTCGAGACGTAGGGGAAGGTGGGGACCCTTCGTACGTTTCACATTTTATTTTTAATTTTTTATTTTTCCATGAATCAATCACCTGATAGTTAAATTTATAGTCTAACTATCTGAGATTCAAATAAAAAATGACAAATGATTTCATCCGATTTTCAACCATAATTAGATTTAAACTAAATCTGGAAAACGTACGAATCTGCCCCATCAACGGGGCACCTTCGTAAGTGTTTGGGGTACCTTCTTACGCGGGGGTAGTTCAAAATTCATTTATTAGCAATGAAATTAAACACAAAAATAAAGATTTAATTTCTATTAAACAAAAATAAAATACTTTTCTTATTAAAACAAAATTTAATTATTAGGTATCTTAAATTTAAATTACATTTTTTACTCTTTGGTGTGATTACAACTTTATGGGTGGGAGTATAAATTGGGGTATGAGGTTTTATACTTCTTACAGAATGAAAGGTGAAATGTCTGGTGAAACTACTTAAACTATATTTAGGATTGAAATATATAAAGATAAAATCAACCTTATCAAGATCTTAAAGTAGTGAAAGTAGAAAGTCGAAAACTAATTTTAAAAAATTGTCGAAAATTATTATACAAATTATTACACGTAACAACAAAATATAACTTATTTTAATATTAATAGAAAACTCATAATAGTATTGGAGACGTATCTTAAGTATATTTTGTAGTTACTGATAGAATACTCTACACGAAAACTTATTTTATCTACGGTAAAAGAGATAAAAACATAGATCAAAAATTACTTACCGACGAAAACACGTCTAGCTGTAACTTACTCTATGAATTTCACGAAACTTTTATGTATATTGGTACTTACTCATGAACATACAAAAAAACTGTCTTTATTTTTAGTTTTATTTTATGTATAAGGGGTATGTCAGAAACCATGTAGAGCAAATGGTTTGACAGCTGTCTTAAGTTTAACATTTGAACATACTTCCTAATGCCTAATGAATTTTAACCAGTCCATTATACGCGGGCAGAAACGTTTTTATTAGTTATTCATTTACGTGCTGTTATGAATTCTTTATACAAATGCGCAAGTACAACAAATTAATTATACTAAATCCAAACACAAGTATGAGACTAAAATACACTGTATTGAAGTAGTATAGTAAACAATTTTAATATATTTTTATTTTCGTTAAACACAAATACAAAAGAAAAAAAATGATCATTTTATTTGGAAAATAATTTATGGCCTACACTCCTTTGTTGTTCATGGCCTCCAGACCTGTAACTTACAAACGTTTAAGCGCTTGATTTATGAAATTTTAAGACTTTTTTGAAGTTTTATGAAATTCCTAAGATGTTCAAAGCATTTCTTCTTAATATGTATGATATTTACAGAGTATTTAGAATACCGTAAAACTGCATATGTTGATTTCAAATGATATCAAATAGGCAAAAGAATGGGTATTTGGATATTATCTCTATAAAGTATTTTTGTTATCAGTATAGATGATAAAAACGGTCAAAAGTTTACAGGATTATAAAGGTTTAAATCCTTGGACAGAATAATAACTTACGTTAAGTGTCTCGGTATAATTTCGGCGTAGCTGTCGTTCTTGCGCATGCGATGAATAAAGTTCGATTATGCGATTTCTTGATATTCTTACATGAGTCAGATAATAGAATGTATGATTGTATAAATAATATTGTATGATTCTTATTAATTTCATCTTCTTACCGTTAAATATATCTCATAATTGTATTTACCTGCCGCTTACGTCCTTTTATCTATGCTCTTCTATCCTTCACAATTTGAGCTGAAAAATAGGAATCTCGCTCACGAATGTTTTTCAAATGTCAATAGCGATAATATTAATATGAATGTTCGTCTATTTTCAGCTATGAACCAGAACTGCATCCTGGTGTGACATACAAACTGTATAATCCTAAGGCCACATTGAAGATATTCTCTACGGGTGGAGTCACAATTACAGGTAGAAAAAAACTAAATAAAATTGTGTGGTTTTTAAAGTAAAAATCTGAAGTTCTTGGACATTTTTGTGTATGTTTCATTGATCAGATTTTAAAGGAAAGTGTTTACTAGCCTAAACCATCTTTTGCTAGGAATCGAACTTGAATCGGCTATAACTAAAATTGTTACTTACACACGAGTTCTATTTAAGAATCTAGTCGTAAATGCTACGAATCGTAGATATGTTGCGCAGCGAAGTGATTAGAAATCACATAGATATATTATTTATACTACAATTATACTCCAGTATTTGTATTTACGGAAATGATGTACAATGGGTTCATTCACTTGCGTGATAACTTTAAACGCGGCTTTCTCGTTATCTTGACTACCCAAAATTTAAATCTAACTTATTTTAACGATGTCTTTTCGTAATTTGTCAGCTAAATATTATTAGCATAATATTATTCCATTTACGAAAGAACTTGCACAACACAAGACGTTACTCAGAAGAACGGGTTTTGGCCAAAACTCACCGATGTCGAGATAGAATTCAAAGTCAAAATCAATTATTCATTTTGGTAACACAATGTACACGTATGAACGTCAATAAAGAAATAATATTAAATGCTAAAGGCTTCTAATTTAACATTTACTGCCAGTTCTCAAATCAAGAGCGTAGAACGGACGAGAAGAACTGGCAATAAACTCTCAGTCACTCATCTTAATCGCCAAGTTTTTTTTTGAGCATTATGATAAACAAGCTGGAACTGGATATCTATAGTTATAAATTTTCCTTCGGTTTACAGATACTTTATTTCTCTAATTACATTCACTTAGCGAGAAGAGTAAGTTAGTTATGTACATCGTGTTATGAAATTATTTGAAAATAAAAATATTAGTTTCTAACAATATGTACAATATTTTTTACTAAAGTGCAGGTAGGTCGCATCAATGTTACAACAGGCATTATGTGTCTAATGAATAGTAATAATTTCTTAGACGCTCGTTCACATACGAGTACATGCTAGAAGGGCCTTGTTGATGTTTTTTAAATACATAATTTTAGTTTACCTTTAGTTTTTATAATTTATGAATCGATGAATTTCTTTCTCTATGTATTTGTTATGTTTGTCTTTAAGTGCTTGTCACATTAAATGTTGTAAATTTTTCCATTATCAAAAGGGGGCAAGAGAAAGGAAAAACTTTTGTAAATAAATAAATTAATACTCAACTAGGTAGACCCCATCATGATTCACCTTGGTACGTTCCCTCAATTTATAGGCGTTTGCTCCTATTTCACCGCGACTTGATGTAAAGGGTGAAAAGTTCGCCTTTCTTATTTATTATTTTTTTATTAAATTACAATAATTAACGTAACAAAATGTTTGTAAAAAAACTTTGGCGATTAAAAGGAGTGACGGAGAGCTTATTGCCAGTTCTCTATCTACGCCCTTGATTAGAGAACTGGCAGTTAATGTAAATTTATAAGCATTAATATTTTTAGTGACGTCCATAAGTACATTAAGTTACATACATGAATAAATTATATTTTGATACCAAATTGTGCTCACAAATGCCTTAGTATAAAAATACTAAAATACGTAGAGTATGGCGGATTTAATAGATAATATTTGACATTTACTAATTTAATAGCGAAACGTAACGGTTATAATTTTTTTCTTCGAAGTTGCAGAATTCCTTTTTTAAATTCCGATAACATATTGTAATTTTGACAATAGAATTTAATACGATTTACTTTCACTTATAAACTATTCAGTAAATAATTTCTGTTTAAAGATAACTGAACGTCACTATGTTGCGTCTGTAAACCCATTTCTTTTTAATAACGAAAGTTTATAAGTAGAAACGAAATCAATAGTTACTGTGAATATTTCGCCATAAATGAATCATCATTTTGTAATTATCATAAAACATATTAGGTATTCCTAACTATAAAAATACGAAAAAAACCTAAATAGAAAAATTATATTAAAATTCCAGTAATTTTTCATAATAACTGAATTCGATTCATATATCTTTGAAGACCGTATCGATTTATTCACTTTAATCGATGTCACCTCACTATGAAGCCACAACTGACAGATGTCAAATGTTATCTATGATCTATGAAATTGGCCCTACTTTAGTTAAATAAACAAATTTCTAGAATTTCGATTTCGTTATATCAGTTACTGGATCATAAAAGATTTCCATAAATAAAGCACCCGCCTTTTCTAGTCGGTTAATTTTTCAATTGTAAGCCTTCACGTTACAGGCTAAGAATAAAATAAGACTATTGTATTGTAACAAAGGCTTTTGTCGAAAAGGTCGTAAAACGTGCCAGGACCGAGTTTAAAGCCTTACAAATACGGTTTTATTAATTTATTATGACCTTGTCCAAGTATTGTTTATACTAAGTATTTGATTTCAAGATTTTATTTACCTAGCTATACTGCTTATACAATAATCCTTTGTCATCATTATTTCGTAATCCTACAGCTAACATAAATTATATATATATAAAAAACAATTATACTAAATATATAACCGAAGATGGAATACATAATATATACAAAAAGGTAAACATTGACGAAAGACAAAATCAATAAAAAATATTAAATACATTTAACTAAGTAATACCAAATTCGGCTGTGTTGTGTGATGGTGAGAAATGAGGGTATCTGCGTAAGGGTGTATGCTAATGATGAAGTTTATTGAGCTTAGAATATTCTCAAAACTCCTTTTCAGCATATTCCGCGATAGCTTGAACAAGTCAAGGCTTAAATATTGGTCGTTGTGTGTCTGGGCTGCGAGACAAAACTGAGGTTTTTGCATAGTTGGTATTGATGTGAGGAGCGTGACACAGGACGTACCTATGTTATAGACAAATAAAACAATCCATGTAAATTGTAACGATTTTATCATCTAAAAGGGTTTCTTTATCAAATTTAACAGCCTCTTTCTCGAAACAAACAACCAAATTATATTCTGCTGGCGGTTGTGCGCGATATTTCTGCTCTTCATATTGTGTAACTGGCCTGTTTTCCTGAGTTTGATAACGCCAATATATAGGTTAACAGACCTTTTTTACTGTTCGTTGTGTGAACTGACTGTTCTCTATAGTTTTTCATTATGCAATTCTTTGTTCCTCCTAAATTATTAATAGGTTTTTATTTCGTGTGTGAATTTTTTATTGGTTATGCATTCTTGTTGATTTAGGATCACCTGCTTGGACAGGATTGTCTTTTCAGTCAGTGTAGAACCCTTAGTGTTACAAAGTTACTCCTAATATATCTATAATAATAAAGAAGTGGGCGCTACCTGCAGCTGAGTTACATCATCGGACGTCGAGGCAGAATACGAAATTCCACCCGTATCACCTCGACGTCCGCCGTTTCACAACTGAGCGTTTTTCAAGGCAGTTTTTGCCGCGCACCACCACTTTGTGGAACCAGCTGCCCACTGAAATATTTCCGAACCAATTCGACTTAGGGTCCTTCAATAAAAGAGCGTACCAATTCTTAAAAGGCCGGCAACGCACTCGCGAGCCCTCTGGCAGAGTGTCCATGGGCGGCGGTATCACTTAACATCAGGTGAGCCTCCTGCCCGTTTGCCCCCTGTTCTATAAAAAAAATACAATCTTTTAGGCATGGGCCTCAGATTTCTGTATCTATCTTGTGATATTTATATTTCTGTGCCTGACACACGTCGTTTTTGGGTCAACGGCATGTCGGTTTCCATAAAATCCATTAGTGTAGTATTAATTGAAACGACCATCAGTAGTGGGCGCACGCTCTAGGCCAATATTGCTCAATCATATAATTAAAGGACAAAAATTTTAACGAAACGTATTTTAACCGTTAGCTATCTGCGTATTTCCGGAACTAAATAGAAATAAGTTTTTTAACACGATTTTTATGTTTCCTTTTAGTTAACGAAGTGATAAATGCTCTATTGTTTTGCAAATATTAATTTTGCTTTATATATTTCTAAGTTATTGGTTTGTTAGCGAGTTAGTTGATTAAATATTTACTCGAGTCACTTCCTGATTTACACCTGAGATATCTTTCTGTTGTTTAAATATTAAGATCAATAATTTGTCTTCTAGTTAGGAGTGTTTTTATTGCATCATTATAAGTTATATAATATTTGATTATTGTATTGAATATTATGTTAATACTAGCTGCCGCTTTAATATAATTTTTTTACTTTGCTTTTTATTAGCTACATACCAACATATGGAACATTTTGCTATGCTACCATTTTGCCATGTTCCTGTTCTATCATTTTACCGAATTAAATTCTTCAAATTTTTTTCTAAGTTTTATGTCCAATCTCAGAATTTAAGGGAAAATAAAAAAATATACTCGAATTGGTCCAGCTTCGAGTTTTGAGTTTTATATAATCACATGTCAATGTCTTAATTTACTTTGTTCATTCAATGTCTGTATACACAATTTCTTTAATCAACTACAATATCACGTAGAATCCAATAACAATTTTCGATACTGTTTATAATTCTTACCAGCTGATCATTAATTACATGTCTGTGCCAATCAATGCTGATAGAAAGTAGTGTAAACCCCCTATAACAAGACAGGACATTTTACGTCAATATAAAACAAATTCAAATTCAAAATCAGTTATTCATATAGGTAACACAATATACTCTTATGAACGTCAAAAAAGGAATATATATGAAATGCTTCTAATTTTACATTTACTGCCAATTCTCAAATCAAGGGCGTAGAACGGAAGAGATGAACTGGCAATAAACTATCCGCTACTTTATTTAATCGCCAAGTTTTTTTTTTACACAACGTTTTTTGTAGAATGAATGTAACATTTTCCAATTGACATCTGATAAGTCCCTTCAGCGTCAATTACAACTTACACCGTAATTATTATGTAAATGTTAAATGGTTCCGAAATTTCCAGCCCGCAGCGTGAACGACGTACAGTCAGCCGTCGAGCGCATTTTCCCACTGGTGTACGAGTTCCGTAAGCCTCGTTCCGCAGCCGACGAAGAGGCGCTTCGGCAGAAGCGTGCCGCCCGCAACCGTCCGCCCGTGGACCTCCAGCCCCGCAGAGAGAAACCCCAAGACAACATGATGCTTGTCACCCTCTCTGAAGAAGAGAACGAATGGGAGTGACCCGCTACCACCCAAATACACCAGTTTCAGCAATAACTATCGGTTGTCAATGAATTGTCGGTTCGGTTCATGCCAAAGATATTTATTAGGGCGGGTGCTTCAGCTTCGTTCGAGCCGCGGCGACGCTTTGACTATTGCGATCGGAGGCGTATTCCGAAACGTCAACCGAATTAATCTCCATGCTTAATATTTCTGATTAACTTGAGAAACGTTTTGGAGTACGCGCCTCGGTGATCCGAAACCAAATCGTAGAGAATAAATCTCAATAACGATACTCAGTCTTTTCATTTGCCGTTTCGTAGTGATAATAGTGTTCACAATTGTTCTTAAGATGTGATGACTGAATGATGTTAGATTAGTGATTGTAAATACAGCTTAGACATTATACGTTTCAATAAATTTGCTTGTTTTATTTTATTCTTTATTAATAAATGTTACAAAGTTATTTGAGAATACGATACTTAATATTAATCAGGCATGTGTAAGTAATACAATTTGTAATAGGGAATAATTGCAAATTATTTAAAGTTTATTCACAACAGTGTTTGAGCATAGAAACTGTTTTCCAACTTTGGTAATAGAATTAATATAAGCTTAGGCGAAATGTATAGTTGAATGTTAAATGTATGAAAGATAATATATAGTATTATCAGTATCTCTTTTTACCACTGCATTCCCGTTCCGTATCTTGTCCCTCCATTTTTCTCAGCTGAAATTGGGCAGGCAAACTTGGCTAGTATAAAAAGTTATTCTGTTGATTCGTGAGTGTCATATTCGTCGCTCGTGAACCGTGGATGAGTAGGGCGCGGTGGGCGTGCTAGTCTCTGTCGATATCTTGGGTCGCGGCAGGTTGGAGTGCGTATGTACGCGCTTAGGTCCACGACCGCCAATCTTGGAGTTCGCACTGCTGTACCTAGATATATTCATAAGTATTTAAAAAAAATGTAAATGGCTATTACTGGTTCGAACAAAGTCTAATTAGTTGTAAAGTACGTGGTTAACTACGGAATCTTTTGAAGTTAGAAAAAGCCTTCTAAAATGTTATAATTTATTTGGAAATTTTAATGTCACATTCAGTGAGGTTCGAAGTTCGAACCCTATTCTCAATAATTTGCGACAGTGATAGAGTGTAATAATTAATAAAATTATAAAAACTACTGATGATATGTATGTAGTGACGTCCAAAGCGTGTGTGAGCCATTTAGTTATGATATAAAGGCATCTATATCCCCACTCACATCGCAAAATACAATGTTTGAAGTTAATCGCCGGATTTCATTCAGATTCAATTCAGAAAAAAGGCACAAAGATACCGCATCTCTGTTTAGGACATCCACCTTGTATCATAGGCAACGTATTTTCCATGTTAACAGTCTTCGGCCTTGTTCTTATTGATGGATTTCGCGCAGTTCGTGGCGGTAAAGCCTTAAGGAGTGGTGAAGCGATGGGCAAGGATGGGGATAGCATCCTTGTAGCTAGAACTCGACGCTCGGGTGAAGAACTAGGAGATCTAAGTGAGATAAATTATTAAATATGAAGAAATGTTAGCCATTAATATCAGTAGGTATTTTGGCCACATTTAGGTGACAGGGGATGGTGACCACGCATGTAAATAAAATAAAGAAAAACCTAAAAATTACTGCGCATTTGTTTTTCGCAAATGCGCACTTCGCAAATGCGCAGTGCAAATGCGCATTCATTGAAATATGACAGAATGAATGAATGCCAATGTACATTTTAATAATGTAAATCATTCTCGACTGCACTTGAACACACAAAGAATTTCATCAAAATCTGTCCAGCGTTTAGGAGTTTAATTACGAACACATGCACAGAAGATTTATATACATACCAGCTGTTTATTTTCTGTATAGAAAAATAACCTAGATACCAACTGCAGCGCCATCTCCCGGGCTGATTTGTGAAATTAAACCACCCAGGGCGCCACCCAAACTCATACAAACAGTTCATTCAAATCGGTCCAGCCATTTTAGTGGAATTAGTGACAATACACGTACAGTAGAATTATATATATATAAAGTTTAAAAATCAAAGGTCTTGTTTGAAGTTAATAATTACATACTAGGTAAAAAATTGTAAAGGTATGACTAAAAATTAGAATGAATGTAGTGTGATGAGTTGCAAAAATATCACAGTATTTATAAAGTGAGACACTGCAACAAATAAACTTCAAAGTCTCTCTATTAGTTCCTTAATATTTCCCTAGATTGATTTTACTTACTATATAATAGCTGTTAGCAATTCTTTCAAAATATTATTTATAAACTGGATTATAAAACCTTTTCCGCTCATATGCAGGTCGTTTCCGATGGCGTCTGCCGCGAGGTTCCTTCTTCTTAGAAGTTGCTCCCATTCGAGGTGGTATAACCGCTATGTGTCTGTAGTAATCACATAGAGCCTTCGCTAACGATCGACCTATCTTTGTATCTGTCTAGTATTTAGGAAACTATTGGTACGCCACCATATGTATTTCAAACAAACAATTATAATGGAATTTAGATACATTTTATAAACGTTTTTATATGTATACAGTGAGCCTGAGCTTTTATTTCTCACATGTATGTTTTTCCTTTTCCCTCACTGACTTTTAAAATAAAATAAAAAAAACATTCCCCAACCCGGCTGGTCCCCGTGGGGAATTAGACCGAAACCCTCCAATAATAAACCAACAACAACATAATGAAGAAAACATTAAAAATAATGGAGAAGATTGGAGGAGGCCTTTGCCACCTGGCAAACGGACACGCAAAAGTGGAACAAAAGAACAATCTACGAAAAATAAAGAAAAAATACTGTCATGTCCGAAAAGAGGCTATAATATAATATATGTTTTTCCTTTCTCTCTCTTCAGTCGGTAGTTCATGTTCAGACATAAACAAAATTTGCGTCGTGGTCAGCAAAGAAACATCTGGAGCGGACAATCTGTGTCCACCGGTTTCTGTCCAGCGCCCACTTATAATCGATTTGAGGACGATGAGTCACTTGACCAGTCCACGTGAGATGTGAAATACTCATCATCAATTAGATTGGTGAACGGGCACATGATTTGTTGCCTTCTGTGTTACGAACCACGATCAGTTTATCTAAGTTATCATCGCCTCTGCGTATTGAATTTTCCCTTCTATATTTGGTATATCGAATATAACATAATACAACTACTTGATCTTCATTTTTCCTGTTATTATTTTATTACTTTGATAGCCTATTTGCCTAAAAAGCCAACGTCGTCCAATCTAGCTATTCTGGGTTAAAGTTATTGAATAACACAACGTCACAAGTCACAACTAAATCGTCATGATCGTAGAACAATCTCGGATTTGAAAACAATCCAAAATCCACTTTTCATCATATTTGGATACTTCATTGACTAAATATTACGGCTACATAAACAAAAAATTCCATGTGTTTTAAATTTCAAATTAACCAGTCGGTAAAGTGACGGATTTGGTAGAAACATGTGATTTTTCTAGAAAACTGTGTAATTCAATGTTATTATTTTTATTTTGTTTCAAAACAAATCCTTTTGTTTGCTTGTATGCAAATTTTTATAATAACAGAATATGAATTAAAATAGTTATGACAAAAACTAACATGATTATATTATGTTGAAATGGCTGCCCTGTAAAGATTACTATTTGTCAGATCCGTCACTATTCTACGACTATGACGAAATATTTACCTAGTCAAATGTGCGTAAGAAATTTAAAATAACTTTGAAAACATTATAATCAAGGATACAAGCATCTTCCGTATAGTGCAGATACGGCCCCCTAGGTGTAATCCTTCGCCCACCCATAGATGCGAGCAATGTGTACGCGTCTACTGCCCCCATGGGCAAAGATCTACGGGCACTGCCCAATGAAAGCGCATCTGTATTGTACAAACACGACTCGCATTGCCATGCTTCAACTCGCATCGCCATGAACTTGGGCAGAACTGCGTGGCGTTCAAATCTAAAGGTAAACAATATCAGAGTCGTCGAGAAAGGTGTAATTTTTAAATTTTTCGATAGAAGTGTATTAAATATTCAGGTTATTTTTATGTAAAATTGTTTCGACTATAAAATATACCGCTGATAGTAGTATTAGTTTAATAATCATATAAATAGCATAATAAAAATCGCGAATATTAGAAGAAAATACCTGGTTTTTTATGTTAATTTATAAAAGTTACCTGTACACGTCGTCATACGAATTTCCTCTCACAAAAACACCCTCGTGGCTAACATCCGCATGCAAGTCAATGATGAAATCCAATTGAAGACCCTATAACATTAAATATATTAATATAGCACGTCTATTTGTGTGTTTCTTAACGCTCTTATTAATATTGAGTCAATCGACTGTTAAGGACGTACGTACCTACTTATACATCTGTAGTTTTTCATTATACAAATAAATAAATAAATCATTTATTTGCAAAGAAAGTGGTACATGTTTCATTAAAAAAATCCGCACAATCAGCCATATAAAAATAGGCATGCAAATGTTACATTAATTTTCATAAAGACACTAGCTGATCCGGCAAACGTCGTTTTGTCATGTATATTATTTGTAAGAAAGATTTTTTTAGTTCAATAAAAATAACTAACTATCTACTATTATACAAAATAGGGGTTAATCGTAGAGGGGTGAAAATTAGGGGTTTTATGTATTTTCTATGTTATATCATAAAAAAATAAAACAAATATTTTTTATTCAAAAAATAAAAATTGTGGTGGACCACTGGACACCCCTTATCACTTAAGGGTTTGGAAAATAGATGTTGTCCGATTCTCAGACTTACTGAATATGCATAAAAAATTTCATAAGAATCCGTCGAGCCGTTTCGGAGGAGTATGGGAACACGAGAATTTTATATATTAGATATAATAAGAACACTAACATAGTGTCATAATAATAAGTTAAGTTATTTATAAATGTTATCAAACTTATGGTCTAAATGGCCCAAGATATAATGGCACCATGCCTTTAAAAATTTAATCACCAAATTTAATTCAATCAAATGTAAGTTATTTTTTTAAGCTTATGGCTCAAAACAATGATTCTTGTTCTGATAAATGTTCATGATCTCCATTAAAAAAAAAATAGTCTGAAGATAAACTTAAAATATCATGTCATAATTTTGTAGTCATATTTTTCTCTTGAGAAAAGATCTATTGCATTCGCATTTTTCTAACAATATAATGAACCATACGTAACAAATACAATTAGTACTTTCCGAGCGTTAATACATATTTCGATCTTACATACAGGGACATACATTTGTAAATGTTACGAAAAGTAATTGCGTTACAAGAAATTCAGTAATACTTTTTCCGCGGTGATCTTCTTGATGTGATCGTTGACTGCAATGAGCGCTGGGTGGGCGAAACTAGTCGCTGTATTCCAACACCTGTTCAAATCAGAGCCCAGGAGATCAGATCGATGGTTGCCAAGAAAGACTCCATCGGGGTTCAGCATTGGAACCACCTACAGGTACATTTCTATTGAGAATTATGCATAATTTTGTGTAATGTGGTGTGTGGGTTTTTTTTTCATAAAAATATGATGAATGTTTTTTCCTTTAATTAGAAGTTACGTACCGAGGACTTTCTTTCTGAGTAGTTAACCTGTATTTTTGTCTACATAATTCGGCGATTCTGGTTTCGATTTCCGCAAAAAAAATCACAGATAATACTGTCTTTATTTGAACATTATATATATATAGTACACCCATACCTGTATAACGATTTCGTTGCGCAAAGCCACCGCTTTTTCCGATGAACTTACAAGGAAATCAAGAAAACCTGTAAATTTAACAATTATTATATTCAATAGTGTTCTGATTGCTATCCTTTTCCTTCTCATTTCCCTCACACTGCGCCTGCGGCGGCAGAAAGACAAGACAAGATTTCGTAATCAATATCGAACGCGTATGATCGTATCCATTCCCAGGTCAGCAGGATACACGGACATTTAATAAATTAACGTTTAATAATAGGTTTGTCCATAAAGTGTTGTATTTATGTGTAATGTCTGTTCTTAGACTAGATAGATAGCTAAAAACAATACACTGGTCCAGCGATACACGTCAAACTTGTAAGACCCCAATTATAAAACAAATTTTAATAACACTCCTCAATTTCCTATTATTGTGTGCCAGACTAACGCTATTTTTTTAGTGGTAGATATTTCGAAGGGAGAGGAACTCCCAACAATGGGGTCTTTTTTTAAACTTTAAAGTTCACACAAAATTTTAAATTATTGTATCTTCAAATATACAATGTTCATATTACAATTTTATTTTTTACTTCGGAAGCGATTTTGCTGTAATTTTTGGAACACTGAGGCTATCGTTACTTAACTTGTGCCTTGGGCAGTGTACCTTTAACGCTGGCAGCATTTCCTCGCTGTATTGCGATACTTATTTGTTGAGCCAGGAAAGTGCCAGCTCTGGGCTCATCGGTACCTACTATCGACTAGGCGCCAACTTAAATCTTTAATCTAGAGTCTCCACTCCAAAGGGAACAAAATTGAAGTTTGCAAAGAATAAGTAGATCAATACGTGCTTCGTATTCCCTAACCATACCAATGCCATATTTGTCTTGCAAAGGTTGATTTGTAAATGTCGATCAGTTTGTATACTTCTGACTTAAAAATAATAAAGTGAAAAACCTTGACAAATATAAGATGACGGCGGTTCACCACCATGTGAACGGGCCAATAGAAGTACGACACGTTTCTTTGTCTTTTTAGTTCCCCATCTTTTGCAAAAGGCTCCTTTCCAAATTCACCGATGGTTATCAAATCTATCCGACGTTTTTGCTAAAATGTCACATTTTATTGTTGTAAGTCGAAGGGTGAATTTAATAAGTAATGTGTGGACTACAATCTTAGGCAAGCTTAGGTAGTACATTGCATGATTTAATGATGATTTTAAAATTTACAAACAAAAAACAAAAAAAAACTCATTCTAAGTTATAGTTAACTATCTAATCTATTAATCTTTAATTTGTCAAGTTAGTCCTTTAGTTGATATCATTGCGTTAATTTAGCGGGAGCTTCAACCATTCTTCTGATTTCATTATTATAAATTTTCAATTAATTCATGCATTTTCCACTACAAGCATATTTTAAACTCAAATACTTTAACTTTGTATCTCTGTTGTTTGAAACAATGTTTTACTTAATTTGATTCAAAGTTTACGCCGCAGATACATCAAATCATATCTGTTGTTAAAATAAGGTAGAAATACATACTGTAGTCTGTGCAATTGACTCCCTTTTAGCAAACTCCTGCGCTTTCTTTTCCCATATACTAAGATGTTTCTGCAATTTCGAATACGAGTAGGGGTATGATGCAACAAATTGATACACGTCTTCCTCACGATCGAACCCGAAGGCGAAGCTTAGTATTTTTCGTCCACGATGTACTATAGAGCGATGGTAGAATAATAAACGCCTAGGGATTCTTTGCCTGCAAATAAACTTATGATATAAATGCAGCATGTTTTAAAAGTATACGCAATATAGCGAGAAAATACTGCTAAATAAAACTTTACCCCAGCGATTAAACTTTTAAAAATTATTTTAATGTTCTGTTCATTTATAATAATTATAAGGTAGGTACAACTAATATAAGAATAATAAACTAAAGTGAAATTATAGAAGTTTTATATGAACTCTATCGCTGGCCATAGATGGACCGCATTTTGCAGTCGATACCGACTGCTCTAAGCGGTCGCTGCACGGCGAACTGCAGTTTCCATACTAAATTCATATCCGCCATACACGGACCGCACGACAAGTTTCTGAGCGGTCGGAGCAGTCGCTCTGCGGTCGAGTTTCGTCGTGCGGTCGACTGCTTAGAGCTGCCGGACCCACCATACACGGACCGCTACAAGCGGTTGCTGCCGACCGCGCGCCTCTCCCTCAAATACAATAAAATACTAACTAATTCATCAAATGAAACCACGGACATTCTAAAGTAGTTGAAAAACATTTTAGTGTCTTCTCTCAGCTGGGGATACAAAGTATGAAATATTCCATGTTGTTCTCTTGATTGTAGTATTGGACGCACCCACATACTAGGGTGTCTTCTACGCCTACGCTTGCGTAATAATAGTACAAGTAGCAGTGTTTCTTTATCGAATTCCATCTTGTAAACAAACTCGCATCAGTACTATTTTGCGGTCGAATACAACTGCTCCAAGCAGTCGTAGCCGACTGCATTATGCGGTCGTGTTGCAGTCGTGTACGACTTCAACGCGACCGCTCTAGAGCAGTCGGTCTCGACTGCAACATGCGGTCCGTCTATGGCCAGCGTATGACTCTTTCGGTCGATAAATTTGACTGATATTATAATTACCAACCAATTCTAAAGGTGCGCTTACACGGGCAACTAAAATTGTTCAATTCCAGTCAATACTCGTCAACTATGACGTCACGACTACATCAAGCATTTTACGGCAACGGCAACAAGCATCAATACTGCGCAATACAATCTTGAGCGATATGGCGCAACTTCATCAACTAGGCAATACTGTCCTACACGAGCATTTCAGTATTCGCTCCTAATAGACGACATTGTTCTTGCTGCGGTGGCTTGTAGCGCTTTTTTCATTATTAATCAAAAACAAAAAAGAAAGAAAAGGAATAGGCGTATCTGGGTGTGATCGTTTTTGGCCGCAATTTTCATTGTGTAAAGAATTAGATGATATATTATTCAAAAACTTTACTAGAACGTCACGAACAGACTTTGAATTACTTTTGAATAAAGTAATTAGAAATTATTATTATTTAGACCTCTCGCTCTCCCCGCGGAAGCAAGACGGCAAGCCGCAAAACAAACAAGTGCGAATGAGATATATGCAAAAATTGTTAGGAATTTCCAAGTCCATTGGATATTCGTCAATTCGTATCTGCGATATTGAGCGATGTGAAATATCAGGAGCAATTATATCGCCGAAATAATTTATTGAAATTTATTGAAATTGCTACAGATCGGTCCATTCGTGTCGCCGAGCAATTATTGCCCACGTGTAAGCGCACCTTAAGTTAGTGGATTTTTTTAAAATAAGAATTACCATTTTTGTCGTGATGTAGATCGAACAAGCGGTGTCATTTCACAGTTGTAAAGCGTAAATTCTTTTCCCAAATTAACAATGTTGAATATCACCCTCTGAAATACGTATTATCTGAAGTTTAGATTCCTCGTGAACACTTGGAGCGTTTTTCATAAACGCGTCCAAGGCTTTAAAAGAAAATTATCTTTTTTCATCACCTAGCCAAAAAAGCCTAATAAAGACTTTTTTTTTATTGATAAAAAGCTTGGCATTACATTGGTAAAAACAAACACAAAATACTATTTTTAATGTGACAAGCACTTAAAGGCAAACATGACATATATGTAGAGATCATACAAATATCAATCAAAAAGTTTTGTTTGATGATTACAAAAAAAAAAACAATTACTAATTAAAAAAAAAATTACAAAAAGCTAAACAAAAATCGATTTTATAGTGTAGAGGGAGCAACTATGGATATGCAGACCTAGCTCGTTTATCAGAATGCCCGATTACCCGATCCCTAAGCTTATTAAAAGAGCAGATAATTTAAAAAATACATGTATGTCTGCGCATAGTCATGTATACTGTCGCCACATTAAAGGCTTGCGAAACTGCCACAGCCTTTGCTGTAATTTTATTAATACCTGGTCTTGTTTAACGTTCTCCACAGTAAAATTGAACCAGAACCGAGACCTTGGTCGGCATGTATCAGGTCGTATGAATAGGTCATACTCCAGTTCGGTTATATGATCAGCACGGCCCAAGTTACCGCATTCATATGCTGCGTCAAAGCAGAGATGGCCACGCTTCGCTTTTCCACTGTGGCCTGGTGGACGAACGATCAGACGATTGAGGTTGCCGAGACCACCCTCACCATCGCTTTCTTCACTATCTGAAATATTTGTCATGTATTAAAATTCCGACATTGCTGTATAACAAAATTATCAAAGCAATTAGATCAAAAAATATAAATGTAGCGTCACACCGGCAAAACTCTCCAAATTAATATGTATTTTTAAATCGATAAAAATATATTTCTAACGAAAGTTGTGGCGAGTCTAACAAAAACGTCGTAGATTTTGTTGGCTTAACTTATTTGAAAATGTAATAAAACTCTAAAACATTTATTTTACTCCCTGTGATGATACCCTTAATTCTGGCAATATGTATTTTTTATTATGCTGTTACACTTTGCAAGAAAATTAATTACTATTTTTAATCATTAAACATACCATCCGGACCTTTTCTATAAATACTTGCGTGTTCCAGGTCATCAACCAACGCGTTCATAGCAAACGCAGCACCCACAGTGAAGCTTTGAAAGCTAACACTAAACGCATAATATAACCTAACAGGCTTATAACATAGGAAACTCGTTTTCTTAACACGCTAAGGTAATCGCTTATTTGATCGTCAATTGAAACTTTACACGAAACCGAATAGGGTTAAGAAATAAAACCACACGAATCAAACTTATATAAAAAGGTTTAAAAATGGTGGCTTTGTTCGAAAAGTTATCGTATTTCAAAATACATGACAACATTATGTAGTCCAGCCACCTTTGTTCTCTCTCTTTTTATAAGAAATAATAAATATTGCATTGGATCGTGCTTTATTATAACATAACTATACATAATAAATGTCATTAACATTAAATATGCCATAAATGCATATAAATTCTAGTAATTAATTAATATCCAAAGTCAAAGTAAATCCCCCGATAAAAGTAATGCCGATTACACAACTTAAACCGTAATTATAATGCATTTTTGCATCGTGCTTTATTATAACATAACTAATGACATTAAATATGCCATAAATGCATATAAATTCATGTAATTAATTAATATCCAAAGTCAAAGTAAATCCCCCGATAAAAGTAATGCCGATTACACAACTTAAACCGTAATTATAATGCATTTTTGCATCGTGCTTTATTATAACATAACTAATGACATTAAATATGCCATAAATGCATATAAATTCATGTAATTAATTAATATCCAAAGTCAAAGTAAATCCCCCGATAAAAGTAATGCCGATTACACAACTTAAACCGTAATTATTATGTAAATGTTAAACGTAGCTTTATTATAACATAACTAATGAAATTAAATATGTCATAAAATGGCTTTGTCAATTCATTTTATTAAGTTATATCAAAAGTAAAGTAAATCCCCCGATAAAAGTAGTGCCGATTGACTGAACTCTAAACGTAATTAGTATTAAATGAACGTATAAAAGTAGAACCACACGAATTAAACTTAAGTGACCTATAAAATGGTGGCTTTGTTAGGTCACGACGCAAACAAGTGAATTTAAAAAAAGACAAAAGAGGATTAATTGCTTTTTATTATTTTTATATCTAATGAAACATTTTATGCTCTTAATAAATTTGTTAAGACGTAGTACGTAACTATTTCGCTTTGACTACTAGGCAAAACCTTTGTTGTTTTTTTTTTTTTTTTTTACATGTTGAGTAATGCGTAATGTATGTGTACAAGCATCTTGAAAAATAAATAAATTAGTACAAAAGCCACCTAATTAAATATATTTTGACTTTGATGTTTAGGGTTCATCCGAATGCGAACGAGAGCAAACGAGAGCAAACTTCTAGAGTATATTTCAGACCCATAGAACCTTAGTTAGGTACTGAAAATATATATGTTTCTTATTCTTATTACGTATCTCAAAATAATAATTATTTATTTCCAACAGACAGTAAATATACAGTATTTATAATGTTCTTAACCTACATAGTAACAATAATAATAATTGAAAGTTATTAGTACTGAGTTTTCCTAGTGGCTTCAGCATGACTCTCATCGCTGACGTTGTAAGTGCAAGCCCCGTTTATATAACAGGGGGCAAACGGGCAGGATGCTCATCTGATGTTAAGTGATAACAAAGTCAAAGTCAAAAATCATTTATTCATATAGGTAACACAATGTACACTTATGAACGTCAAAAAAGAAATATACATTAAATGCTTCTAATTTTACATTTACTGCCAGTTCTCAAATCAAGGGCGTAGAACGGAAGAGAAGAACTGGCAATAAACTCACCGCCACTCTTTTTAATCGCCAAGTTTTGTTTTACACAACGTTTGTAAGGAGCTCCAACCATTACACCATGTTCCACATGACATCTTAAGTAGTAAATAATAATAAAATAAATTAAAAACAAAGATTTGTCCTCTATCAGCAGGAGGCATAGAATAATGCGTAAAAAATAATAACAAGTTAGCCTTTTAAGAATTGGTACGCTCTTTTCTTGAAGGACCCTAAGTCGAATTGGTTCAGAAATACTTTAATGGGCAGCTGGTTCAACATAGTGGTAGTGCGCGGCATAAACTTCCTTAAAAACGTTCAGTTGTGGAACGACGGACATCGAGGTGATACGGAATGTATTTTATTATGTATTTGTATAAATTTTCTTAGTGAATACAAACATAATACAACAAATAATCTTAATGAATAGGATTAAAGAGTTTCTCGACGAGTTATTATTAATAAGAAAAGTGTTTTTATACTTTAGATTTAGATATGTCCATCATGGAAAAATTGTATCTATAATATCTGACAGATACCTATTATATAAAAGAATATCTTAAATTTAGAGCACAGTTTAAAAAGCGAAACGATGACTCGATTAACAGGACTCTTGTAAGTACATGTAACTATTAAATAATGTTGAAGCATCTTCTTAAGTATTACGCTTAGCTTAAATAAATCATTTATTTATTTTTCCTTATTTCCTATTTTTACAGTAACTTAACTTTTTACAGTAAAATATTAAGTATTCCGCACACAATTTATAGTAAATGTATATATGATTAAATATTGTGCTTAACTTTGTTTACATGTAACGCAATTTAATTACTTAATTATTGATTTCCGTTTTAGTTTGGTTCTGATTATTGCCCTATCATATGGAAAAGATTTAAAAAATATTCGCCATGAAAAAAGAAAGTTCCCAGAGGGATTTCGATTTGGCACGGCCACTTCGTCCTACCAAGTAGAAGGAGCTTGGAATGATGACGGTAAGGAATATTTACAAATATGATTTTGGAAGTATATTACTATAAAAATCTTACTGAATTGGAACCCTATGCAAGTAGCTAACCACTTACCTTAACCAATTTTTTAGGAAAGGCCGAAAGCATCTGGGATCGTATGACGCATACGAGACCATGCACGGTAAAAAACTGTGATACTGGCGACATTGCTGGAAATTCCTACTACAACTATAAAAGAGACGTAGAAATGATGAGAGAACTTGGACTCGATTTCTACAGATTTTCTCTCTCCTGGCCAAGAATTTTACCGACAAGTTTCTCAGACCAAGTCAACGAAGCTGGTTTAAACTACTACAATAATTTAATCAACGAAATGCTGAAGTATAACATAGAGCCAATGATTACGCTGTACCATTGGGATTTACCCCAAAAATTGCAGGATCTTGGTGGTTGGACCAACCCACATGTAGTTGACTGGTTCACAGATTATGCAAGCATTGCCTTCGAAGCGTTTGGAGATAGAGTAAAATTCTGGTTCACAATAAACGAGCCGAAAGAAATTTGTTTGAATGGTTATGGTGAAGCTTTGAATATGTCTGGGCACGCAGAGTATTTGTGTGCGAAGAATTTATTAGTAGCACACGCGAAGGCATATCACTTGTACAATAACGAATATAGACCAAAACAGGGTGGAACAATAGGAATTGTGGTGAGTGCAACCTGGAATGAACCAGAGACTAAAAACGATATTGTGGCGGCTGAAGATGCAAACCAATTTGAGGTAAGGCTTTTTCCCTTCCCTTCCACACAATCCCTTATTTCTATTTAAAAAATTAACACACAAATTTAGTTAAACGATTTGAAAAATCTTATATAAATTTGTAGTCCCGTGAATGTATGTATTCGTGTAATGTAATCTTCTTTTGCTTCCAGTACCCACAAAGTTTTGTTATATTTTTAGTTGAGCTTCTACAAGTTTTTAGTATAATTTGTAATTAGGTCCGCATAAGATTATAGCTAGTTTTGTTAGAAGTTTTCTTGGGTACTTAGTATTTTTATAAATATGACTTGAAAATGTAAATTAAAATCTTTATACGTAATTTGATAGGCAATCTCAGCCACCCCTGGACCAATTAACGTGCAAACTGCAATACGCGCTTAGAAATTAACAAAATCTATTTTTTCGAATAAAAATGAATTCAAGATTTTTTGTAGTAATTATTTACTATTTGGAAAACTTTTAGTGGGGACAATTTGCCCATCCCATCTTTTCCGAAAGTGGTGATTTCCCAGCTGTTATGAAAGAAAGAGTTGCAGCCAAAAGTGCAGAGCAAGGATTCTTTAGATCAAGACTTCCCGAATTCACAGCCGAAGAAATTGACATGATTAAAGGGAGTTCAGACTTTTTCGGTGTCAACCATTATACTTCTTCCCTTATTGTCAGAAACGAATCTGTAAATGGATACCATATATCTCCATCTTATTATGATGATATGGGCGTAATAATGTATAAATCTAATGAATGGGAAGATTTTGGGTTCCCTTGGATGAAGGTATGTTCTTAAAACTCTGACAGGGTCAGGTAAAATTCTCTTAAATACTATTTAATTATTTAAATTTTAAGGTTGTACCCGAAGGTTTCTACAAACTGTTAACTAAAATCCGGGAAGATTATGGTAATCCCACAGTTTTTGTTACTGAGAATGGATGCATGCAGTTAACTGCAGGTCTTGAAGATGATACCAGGGTATCGTTCTATAAACGTTATTTAGAAGCCATGTTGGATGCCATGAATGAAGGTTCTGATGTACAAGTTTACACTGCGTGGAGTCTTATGGACAATTTTGAATGGGCGCAGGGTTATAAGTAAGTATTTGAATAGGTTTACATCTACTATTTATATTAAAATGAGTGATACAAATACAGAAGACTCCCTTATCGAAAAATCCGAATACATGACCTTCTGGGCAAAATATATTTTAGAAGGAGAGCCAATACTTTCTCATGTAGTTCAGTAGCTAATGATCTCTATATGTAATATGTATTAATAATAATAAAGCCCGTTTATTTCTAATGTTTACAAATGTTGTGTATACAGATTAGATTTGTTATATAATTTTTTTTTCTTGTTACTCGATATCCTAACTTCCTTCAATACCGTTGATCGGAACCCCTTCACGGGTTAAGGCCTCCTGCTGCTTTTTCAAAGTAATCCATGACTTTCTTTCTTCAGACGATTCCTGCTAACGCTTCTATATCTTATTTTAGAGCG